CCAACCACCCAATGGCATGGGCTAATGATTGTTCAGAGTCGAAGTTGCCTTCAGCCTCATCAGCCCAGCGTGGCATTGCCAGATTGTTCTGCCCAGGTCAGTCTTCCGTGTGCCATGCGAGGAGTATGCATACCACTTGTGAGTATGCCTCGACACCGGGACGAACAGCTTCCATAAAACTGGCAAGCAAGGGCGCAATGCCAGAGACGTTGACACGGCCGGAAGGGGAGGAGCGCGAGAATGAATTGTTCACGCCGTCAGTAGGCGCAGCGACAGAGGGCAAGCGAGAAGCAGCCGACTTGCCGGCGTTGACAATGAGGCGTAATAGCAAATCTGCCTCTTCTGAATGTCGTCGACCGGCATGGCTCCGTCAACACTATCGACGAGATCTTGATGCTACCGTAAAAGACGTGCGGCACTGGTTGCGATACTTGGAGGACACTGAGACAGCTAGGGGCAATGTATAGGGGGCCCGAGGGGCATCTACGCAAAGCCACAAGAGGCCTTTGACGCATTTACTAAGGGAGTTGTCGATACTTGGAATAGCCTACGTTAGGAGCTAATCGACAATTGCATCACGGGCCTAGATACTAGAGTGAAAGGCGTCCTACAGGCAAAAGGGTGGTATACACGCCACTAAACAGCGATATCACATCAACTTCATACTCTGACAGAGAGAGAATTTGCTAGGAAGCATTTTAACAGTACTTACGATACAATCAGGCAATAAATGGCTCTCAAAATTATGCAAAAGAACCTAGTATTTGGATGTATATGTGTCTTTTATTGTGTTTTTGGTGTTTTATTTATCTAAACCAGGGATCCTCGCAAAGGTTTGCGCGCTCAGCCGAAACTTCGCCCACTATTTTCCCTCCCTCATGTTTAGCATTGCCATCCTGATTCTTGGACGGAGAGATACACTTCTCCATTTTGTAGCCTTGCTCGTACGTTCAAGACACTTCCATTGCTTGCGAGGGCTAGGCAGCGCAGCAGATGTGGTGTAGAAGGCCTCTCACCCAACTACGCTGCTGCTCTGCTCTTTTGAGCCTGAGCACCACAACAATCTGAAGTTGTTCTATCATTGGCGATAGAATCCCCACTCCGTTCTGGGTCGTTCAGAAGCGTAAATACGCAACCGTGCGCTTCGGGGTACTGCCGCGAATGTGTGATACTGACTTGACTGGACACATTGGCTGGGGTTGGTGTCTCTTCCGGGGTTATACCTGGGTTTGCTCGCTCGCCAGACCTGTGTCTTTTTGGTCATTGTGGCGACTCCGTGCCCGAGGACGTTGATTTTGTTGGCCAAGGAAGCCCATGGTGTTGTTGTCTTGACCATTTCATCCATAATGACCTTTCCGTCCAGACTCCGAAGAAAAGGGGAAGATGCCGAGTTTAGGAGTCCTTTCAGGACCCCATCTATCTAGCCCAGACTGACCAAGAGTTCCCGCCCACCAGACAGATGACGAGTCTATGGGTCCCATCAGGACTTTGTCTGTCTAGCCCAGCCTGACCAGAACCCCCAGTCAGCAGACAGATGAATTCGAGATGTTTCAATTCTGAATTCACCTGTGTTTCCAGGATTTGGCCCACAATCACAACCTGAACGACAATCAATATGGACCGTATCTCGTTCGCAGACTACGTCTGGTTCCAGACCACCCACACGCCCAGGACAGATTAGTTCGAGATGTTTCATTCTCGAACCAGTATGATGACATCGTCGGTCACGTTCGTGGCAAGCCTTTCGTGAATGGGATCATGATTTTGCGTTTGTCTGCGACGATGGCTGGGCGCAGCGAACCCGGACACCACAGATGAATTCGAGATATTTCAATCTCGAATTAAGACGATGCATTTGTAGTTGGCCAGCGCATCATGTTCATTGTGTTGTAGCTCATGCTCCTTTTTCAGGCCGCGAGCGGACAATCCAGCCCCGCGCAAGGCCTTCGTCCCATCGACGATTTCCGGATTTGAATTCTCGTCCTGGCCGTCCCAACGAGGTCCAAGATGAGTTTGCTGAAGTCAAGCAGCGGAACGATGCAGTGTCCCAGGTTGATAGAGTCCTTGCGATTTGCATTGTCATCCCGACCACCCCAGAGAGGGCCAAGATGAGTTTGCTGAAGTCAAGCAGCGGAGCGATGGATACTTCCGGGAGACGCATGAACGGCTATAGAGCCTTGAGTCCAATCTAGAAAGAGATGGCTCTGTCTCGACAAAAGAGAGGCCGGAAAGATGTTCAGAGGGCATTGTATCTGGGCCATGATATGTGGGAACTCCTGCTTGCTTTGCCATTTTGAAGTCCAAGGCGACAAGGGATCTCCGGGGCCGCGGGCTCGGGCACGGAAGAACCATGACTGTTATAGTAGTCCGGTGTAGATTTTTATATATAATGTAGTCGCCGCTAGGCAGTCATTCGCCTCATGATGACTGCATTGCAGTGAATGAGGTGGTTCGGATCGATCCTCTTCCACACAGGACACAGCTTTTCTCCTGTCGTGATTGTGGAATTCAAGTGCGTTGTATTTGGTGCAACGCTATATATAAGATGTGTCGGACATATATAGGACAAGCCATGGCTGAATGCGATCTCAGACAGCGTGTCGATGAAGTAGAATTGTGGTGAAACCCCTGATAGCCGAGCCAGAAGGCAACATTTGACAGCTTGTCGAAGAAAAAGAACTTCTCTGAAATCTCGGTTCCATAAAAAGGACAGCCGATGTGATTGCTGCCGCCCTTTCCTCTCCATGCATTGTTGATGCTAATATGCAACCATGACGAATGCTCCATGGGGGGCCATACCAATTGCGCACCAGACAGCCACAATGCAGTGGAGGTGGTATCTCCTGCCCCATGTTCTTCATTTTGCTCAACTGCATGAGAGGGATTGAGCGCGCAATTCGGGACAAGAGGAAGGAAAACATCCGTCATCCAACGCAGGCCCATCCACTGCCAGTGGCATGGCATTGAAGACCAGAGGAAAGCAAGCCGTCGTTATCCAATGCAGGCCATGCCCGGGGTGTTGTGCGATCTCAGAATGCTTGTCTTTGGCCCCAATCAATCATTGACAGTATGGCACCACAGCTAGACGAATTTCCAGGCTCGTCGATGTGGGAGAAGATATGCTGCCACATCAACCTGGACAGGCTCAACACAGGAACACACTTTCGGGGGGCTGTACCACATCTGGATGAGGTCCAGGCTCATCAATCAGGAGAACGTCTGCCCAATTTGCTCCGACCACAACCATGGGGCAGCAGAATGGGTCTGTCAGAGTCCCACAGATGGAAAATCCGATGGCAGCAAAACAAAGGCCAGATGACTGGTTCGACTGATCAGGTTTGCGCTGCTGCTAGTGGAAAAATGTGTCCTGATACAGAGGAACCAGAAGTGTCCATGTTTCCAGATTCAAGGGGAAAGTGTCCAGAATGAAGCGAACTTATTCAAAAGGTCTTTCCAGTTCGAGATGACCAGAGTATTTGTCGCAAAGCCAAGTCCAGGGGATGTCCATGTTGGGGAGGAAGAACACCGGGTATAGTCTTTTCGCCATGAGAGCCTTGACTGTATTGGAGGCTTGATTGATGGCTGTGTCGAGGACCCAACTGGAAACTTAATACCTTTGATGGATAGTTCTGGCGTAACCATAGACAGGGAAAGCAATTGCGCTGCGCTGTGTCCTTTGGTCCAGGTATAGATTTGTTTTTGTATATATAAAACCAGCAATGAGGTGGAAGAAGCGGATGAGAAGGAGAAGAAGAAGTAGTAGGAAAGAGAGAATTGGTGAGAGCCCGGGGGGATTGGGAGCTCGAGGACTTGAGAGATGCTGGATGAAGAAAAGCAACTTCTAAGGGGGGGAAATGGAGGTTTATATAGAGAATGGAAGGCCCCACCTCAGAGTATGAGTCGTCATCAAACTGAATCACTTGATTCTGTAAACCGGTCATACAACCAGGACACCGCTCATACGTCTCAGAGCGCATAACTCACTTATCATGGTGGTGGTTGCGAAAATGCGAGCTGTGTGGATGGATTGGTGACGATTTCTACCAAAATGGTAGAAGGGCAGCGTCTCCGCAAAGAGTGGAGGGCGGTAAAACGATAACAGCACACAGAGGACGACTCACAGAGCAATAGCCGGACCCTAGGTGCGAGGGAATACTGCGCCAGAGGCCGGTCATGGAAAAGTGGGATAGGAGGGGGATATGCTTCTCACAGTGGGTTGGTGGGAGGAGTAGTGAACCCACACCACACAGAGGGCGACTCACATAGCCATGACCGCAACCAAGATACGAGTGAATCATGATCTAGAGTCCGGTCATGGACAAGATACAGGGAATAAGTTCAGCTATCACCAGTGTGAGCAACTGGAGGGGAGCGTTTGATGGGTGAGTGCGGTGCGTAGTGTGAGGGAATGATGCCATTGTGCGATTTCAAGCGGGGCTTGTGAACAAGAGCAAGCTCCAGCTAGTATACTTAGGTGTACATTACCCTCTTTGTCCAAGAGCAAGCTCCAGCTGGTATAGTTCTAGCTGGTTTAATGGGTTGCCTATCATCTGCCTGGGAGCATGGGTCAATACAGATCTGATGGAATACCTGTAGGATTCATAGATTGTCTAGCTAACTTCTACAAGAAAAGAGAGAGTAGAAGAAGAGGGATAAGCCCTCAGGAGAGGCAAGAGTCAAGGGCTACGCTGGATACAGATAGGTGCGAAGCATGTTTGGTATAGACTTCAGGAAGGAGACGAGGAGACTTCAGCTCCTGCAATAAGATCTTGTATGGCATTCTCATCAAAAGCTGTACTGCAGCGCCATATTTAAGGTAAACAGTTGCATTACTGTAAATCCAGGCCTACGAAGGCAAGGGAGCGAGTGATGGAGGGACGATAGTAGCAGTGGTCACTGGACACGGGAGAGACCATATCAACTCATCACTGGAAGGAAGTAGAACGGAGTAAACTTGGCCAAGCGGACTAGAGATTGCAAATAATTTCATTTCATTTATAGCCATCACGTATGTATGATACCGGTTGTCTAGATCATTCATGTCCGCAACCTTTCCTTCCTCTGGAATTGGTCATTACTCATTCTGGGAAAATGATGCTTCCAACTCGTCTGATTCAACTGCAGATACTTGGCTCGGCTGATCCAACACAGATGAGCTCTCTTCTCTGGCGAACTGTGGCCGAGGCCAGTTTCCTCCTGTGGCAAGCACGGCATCGAAGTCCAAGGCTTCGACAAACCACTTGTCACGTCTGGTTAAGGCCTTGTTGGTACCCTCTTGTGCCGCCCTGGACGCTCGCGTCTTTCGCTGTTTCCTGTTGCTTCCCTGAGAGGACCCATCGGCGTTGATCTCGCTGCGAAACAATTCGAGTTGTTGATCATGAGCAACAATGGCACGTATGTATGGTGCAACTTCTGTCACCAGAGCTGTTGAACTAGTATCAAGAGAAGGCGATTTGCGCCCAGGTGGGCCAGGAAGACCAATTCGAGGTTCTTCCGATAGAACGGCGAGCGTGTCCAGGACCGAGTATGGAGACAGGTGGTCGGCCGCGGATGGAAAATTTGCAAGGTACCGTGTGATGATTTCTTCACGTGCCAAAGATCCGGTTGACGAAGATTGGTCTTGGATCTTGCTTGCAAGGATGGGCGCAACACTATCGTCTAGGAGATCAAGTGCACTTCTTGCTTCGCAGAGAGACTCACACAATTCGAGTCCTTCCAATGTAGGTGGGCTTTCTGTTCCGAAGTTCGTGTCGACCACCCAATCCAGGGGTGAAATACCTAATTCTTGGTGGGCGAACCTTATGAGATCTTCGCCATCGAAAAGTGCTTCAGGCAAGAGGTCATGGCCGGCCAAGAAGGTGTCTTTGCTGACAATTCTGACGATAGAGCCATCGGCGGACGCTTGCTGTCGTTCATGGTCTGGCATGAACCAGTCAAGTCCACCTTGACTTGAACCAACCGTCATTTGGCACCAGAAGTTCAGCTCTGCCATTGAGGCCCGAAGGTCGCAGCCCTTGGTAAGGTATAGACCTTGAATCGCATCCATTTCTAGAAGATGGCCTTCTGCTGCTGCTACCTTATGGAGATATTCAATAGCTATGTCTGGAGCTGGCTGAGCATATGTCAGAATTGTGAAGAGATCCAGTTCATCGAAAGGAATCGAGGTTGGGTCATTGCACGTCATGACGACAGGCCGTTTTGATGTCCGAATCAGGGACTGTACTCCAGACCAAAATCCCTTGTCATCTTCAAACAAGATATCGACCTCTTCAAAGAGAATGAGGGACTGTTTTTGTTGCCTGGGCTTGATGTCCTTGTTGGTTGTGTCTGTGTCCAATTGGTGTTTCAAGGGTTTCTTTCTGGTTTGCTTGTCCTTCCCCAAGAATGCAGCGATACCTTGCTGGTCTGCACCTGGTGCAAGAGGTAAGGGAGTTATGGACTCAGCATCGCTCGCAGAGATGCTAGATCTACGGCTCAAGACCTCCGGTGCGCGTTGCACAAGATGATTCTGAGTCATATCACCAACCTTATCCAAGATGTCCTTTGTGTTGCGTCTCATGCCCGGGTGAAGCTCGAAGACCTCGAAGCCGAGTTGCTGAGCGACGGCATACACCGACGCAGTCTTGCCAGATCCGGGAGGTCCCACAAGCAAGATGGCATTCTTCGGCCATTGGCCACCATCCTCTTCATCGTCATCTGAGTGTGCTATGAAGTCATCCATTTCGTCCGACTTCCGTTTGCGACGTTTCTTCTGTATCAGCGGTTTTAATTTTGCCTGGGCCTGGCCAGATTGGACTTGATGTACTTGGAGTGTAATTAACCAGTCGTACAAGATGCGGCTTTGAGCTTGGAGAACCTCTTGCCATCTTTTGGGGGCATATTCCTGAGACCATAGATGTGTATCAGACGCCATGCCTCGATCAAACGCGGTAGGTCGTGACAAGATTTTCGACTCCAAAGATTCGAGAGATGGTCTGAAAGTGTCATCATCTGTTTGATTGCTACAGTCGACCGAGATCGACAACGCTTTGCCGCTCACGACCAATCGTGTGGGCCTGTGAAGAGGCGCAGAGTGATGAAAGTTCATGACATCCTGGAAACGTTGCAGAACGTCTTCTTCGGGACAAACTTCAGACTGTAGTTGCTTTGATTTGAACTTGCTCTCGTTTGGTCGTGGAATACCGGGGAGAGCGGTGAAGTGATGTTGTGGTTGAACATTGTGTGTCTCCAGGGGAGGCCAAATTGGATCAGAACCGAGGAAAAACTTCTGCAGCGGCCGTTTTGACGTGAAGATAATGTCCTTCCAGGATTTTGGAGCCTTTGGACTCGTTCTTTGGGTCTCATCCTCGGAAGTGGGGGCAGTGGAGGACAGGTCACTGGTTGCAAGGGAAGAGAGTGGAAGCTTTGGGGCTGGTTTGGTTGAAAAGAATGGGTGCACAGCTTTTTTGGCCACAATGTTCAACTTCTGTTGAGATTGTGGTTCTGAAGTCAAGGAGGTGCTTCTGATAGTGGCATCTTTTCGACCAGACAATATCTCATCGATCTTCTTGCCAAGGTCTGGAGTTTGGTAATTGAAAGCGACAACAAGAGAGGAGACCAATCTTCCCTTCTTGGCCTCAATTGTCCTTGCCCGGGTTTTCGATTTCTTTGGCTCCGGAATCGGTGTAGACTTGTTACCGAGAATTTTGTTGTGTAGTTTAGGAGAGCGTTGGATAGTGTCTTGAGGAGAACTGGTTAATTTCCCATTGCGACCAATCCGCATTGACTTTCTTTTTGGTGTCACTGTTTGCTTGTCCTTAGACGAGGAGGAATCTTCCGGCGTGGAAGCTGACGCGGTCGTTTCTACAAGCGGTGCTGTATGTTGGACATTTTGTGTAACGCTGGACACGACGGGGTCCTGATCTTGCAGCTCAATTTCCACATCTGCCCTGAAAGGCTCTTCTATAGATGCGCCGGACTCCACGACGTTTGGCTGAGGAGTTGGAGGAAATGCTTGGTCGACGTGTTGTTGAACGGGATTATGGTCCAAGTCTGCAGGCGCTGCAAACCCGTTCCCGTGTAGTGGGGTAGCTTCCGCGTCTCCTAGTTGATCTATCCATGTATCTTGCTCAGCCAGCTGGGAGCATTCGGTGTCTTGCTTAAGAGGAAGATTTGGCTCCAGAGAGACCTTCCTTCGTTTTCTTCCATCATCTGCGTGATGTGTCTCATATTGCGCATGGTCATCTGCAGGGAGCGGGCTAGTGGAATCATGGGTTTGCATCAAATGGTGTCGACATTCTGCTGATGGGGGATAGGAGGGTGGAGAATGCTGAACAGTTGAGGGAAATGGTGTCGAATTCATCTCATGTTGTAGAGGATGAGACTGTGGTCGCTGATGTACTGCATCTTCAGACAAATTAGTCAAACATAATGTGCAATGGTCATGTTCATACCCCTTTGAAAGAACGGGTGCATGACAGGCGATGCAGACGAGATGGATGCATATTCCATCTGTGCAGCGACTCATGACCTCTGCATTAGTGGAGGGAGTGTCTGGTGAGAGGAGGGATAAAGAGGACCATCTGTGAAGCCAGTGGCTGCGTTAATCTTTTCAAACCATGAGGAAGACACTTCAAAGAGTGAAGGAGAGTGAGTCTTCTCTTTGCTGTAATTGTGACATCCCACAAGACTCTTTGATGTGGCAAGTTGACGATGAATTAGATTGGATGGATTTGATAGAGTTGGACGCGTCTTGTCTTGACGCGATATGCCGCCAACTCTGTGGAAGGTGCAGTGCGGGGGTTGAATCGGGTTGGCTCCTGCACTTTCTAGTCTTTAATACTTAACTAAATGGACCTAATCATATTTTAACACGACACTAATAACTTAATCAGCACATCAGCCACTAACTTCACATTTACACCCAGACTCTCCCCGCACTTTAATTCTGACCTTAACCTTGTCCTAAACTTCCTAAAAAAATTCTGGAGGCCTTCACTCGCATCCTGCGGACTACACAACTAAAACTTCTAGTTCTACAAGCCGCGACTCTCACCAGTTCTGGTATGACCATGTTGTCCTGACCGACCATGGACTTATCAACACCACACGTTCTCACCAAGCTGCCGCGATCCTCTCGACCTGATGCAGCCGTCAGCTTCAGCAAAGTCGTTGCTTTGAAAGATGGTTCATCGAGGCACAGAAATGAAATCTGCGCTGCCGTCGACGGAGATTCCTTGACAATCTACAGTGTATGAAGGCGCTTCATCCACGCTTGCGTGCTTGTTCACTAACCTATGCTCTTCAGGTTCGAGATGGTAGCATAGTCGCTTCTCATCCAGTTCCCCCTACCTCTTCCTTCTCAGGCCCACCTCTATCCGTCTTCTCGAAGACCGACACTACCAACGTGCGACGCACCTACTGCGCCATCACCCACAATACCTTGCATTTACAGGCTTTCGAGACTATTGGCAAAGAATTTCAAAATAGCAAGACCTACACAAGCCCTGACCTGGCCCACAAAGAAAGCCCTTTAATCGCTTTGGAATTGATTTCCAATGACGACGAAAACCGCAACTACATACTCACAATTCAACTAAACGGTGCTGTAACTGTTTTGTCGGAGGATCTGAGCACCATCATCACACGTATCTCTCTGACAAGCAGCGCTCCAATCCACATTCTTGGTGCTCAATGTCTGCCATCAACCATCGCAGCAGCCACGGTGCTTCAACAGAGATCGGATCTTCTTATCCCCAATGGACCGCAATGCTCATACGTGGCCCTTGCCTACACGATACCTAATGCTGGAGATGCCACACCATCAAGGATATTTTACGGTCTATGGCCCATTAACGTGGCTGCCGTGAATGAGACTTCAATACTTCCCCTGTTCGAACACGACCTGGGCTTGCAGGAGTATGAGGCAACGCTGGTAACTTCAAAACGGCACTCATGCACTTTTAGACTGCATGGTCGTTATCTTGACCTCAAGGGTCCATCGCTCCAGTCCTTTGAGCTTTCCGGCGTCCGCCCTATTCGAGTATATGTCTCGAGCAACAAGCAACCCATCTCACAGCAGACTATGGCGATATCCAAAAAATTTGCACTATCCTCAAGCCAGGAAGCTTTACGACTTTGGGATCTTGAGTTCGAAACGACCCAGGCTATCCTTGATTTGAAAACCTTGAACAGAAAGCGTAAGCTTGCTCGGACTGGAATCGACTCTCATGGCGGTCAGATCGAGCTTGTTAGTTGGTACCATAAGCTTGGCCGTGTGATAGGGAGACGACGGAATCACCTGGTCGCCATCGACATCACCTCCAAGCAAGGGTCAAAGAAGGTACTGGAGTCTGGAACTCGACTAATTGACAATATCGGCAAAGGTGTCAGTCTCCAGGACAAGTCTACAGCAAATGCCAGCGAGGTGCAACGTACTGACATCGGCCCTACAACTATTTCTGCCAATCTCTCTCTTGAGTGGAAACACATGAAGAAGACATTAGATCGACTCGCGCAAGCTGGCGATGTTTCCCAGTTTGAAAATACTTTCATGGGTATGCTCAGCGATGAATCACTTCAAGCAGTTACACAACAGCAGCAGCACGGAGATTTGTCCGCAAGTCAGGTCGGGGTTCCGACAACATATGTTGATTACGTCTTGTCCAAAGTGTTTGAGAGGGCGACTACTACTAATTCCACAGCCGATGCGGAAGGTGGGGTGGGAAACACGATTGCAGCAGAGAATGGCGGTACAGGCCATCCCCAGCTCAGGGTAAAGCTCAAGGCTGAAAGGTTGATCCTCTGGCTGTCCAGGTTCGGCTCATTATCTACCCACCGAGTCACCATCGCCATGTCTCCCGTTGGAGAGGTCAAGGAGCCACTTGGCCCAGATGCAGTTGCACAAGCTCTTGTTGAGCTCGATCCCACCTTGAACCTCTTATCGCAATGTTTACAGAATGGCTTTAGCCCTTATGTTGACGAACAATCATCAATTGTGCTCATGTTGATTCAAATCGCTCTGTCCGGCTCGGGCGATTCGGATCAAGTTGGGCTCAGTGATGAGCGCAATCCGGAGTTCGGTCAATTGGACAAGCTTGAGCGGCCATCACCGTCTGCATGGGTATCAGATGATGTCAAGAGAGCTCTGGTACTTGCTTTGAATCGTTTCGGAGCTGCGGGGCCGTCGACAATCTCTTCATGTCTGCGGAAAGATTTTGCTCCGCGGGAGCTCTTGGCCTTGGTTCAATTCTTACGGCAGCAACTCTTTCAAAGTGGCCATACTAGATCGTTCCAGAGCCAGCAAGTGGAGCCCCACTCGGAAGAAGTCGTCAGTCTCGACGCAATCGTCCGCGTGCTATCAAGTTGCGTTGACGCCATCGGTCCTTTGGGATTTTTTGGGAGTCTTGAGAACGAGGATTTCATCGAATCCATTGTACCAGACCTTGTTTCCGAGATCGACAACGCGAAGAAGGGCTTAGAGGATGCGACTGATCTGCAAGGAGTGTTACGAGAAATCTTGAGATATCAGGAGTCGCTTCAGAAGCATCACGATGCTCAGTCAAGGGTTTCTCGAATTGAAAGTGATGGTGAGGCTCAGCAACCAGGAACAATCATCACTTTGTACTCTGAGGGCGTTGACGGACGAGAAGCTCAAGATGTTCAACTTCTTCCTCTTAGTTCACGCGCGGAGGACCTAATCAATCCATTCAAAGTAAGAAAGGGTGGGGGCCAGGTCAAAAAACGAAGCAGTCGTCATATCAGCATGTTAGAGCAAAGACAGAAGGGGGTCTACTCATTCGAGAGATTGATATTGTGAGCATAGACTTGGTATGGCTTGGAAGGCTGCTAGAAGAGACGAGTAGCGTTGTGTAACCATCAACTATGCAATGACCTCACTCGGCCTTGAAACGTTATGAAACTTATGTATGTGTGATGTGTGTCATTGAGTGAGGAACATGGTGTTCTGCCACCAATGCAACTCCTCTGATACATCCCCTCTTATCGTTTACTGTTCTGAATATTCATTCGCCTGTTGAATGAACCAGAATGCAGTAATCACTGAAGAGACCTCCCACCCCCTTCGGAGTACCTAGTTTTCAATTCCCATCAGCTAATTCTTCTCAGCTGACGCGAAGGACACTTTCACAGGCAAGGGCAACTTTTTCAAGCCGAACCAAGCCGTTGTGTCTTCGATGAAGGCCCTTTTGTCGAACCCTGGTGCGGGCGTGAAATCGAACATTGGAATCATGCTGTGAAAATATTTGTCAGTCAAATAGCCGGACCAAGAAAGACACGAACCCACTCACTTGTACAAAAACATCCGAATTTGCATCAAAGCAAGTGGTTTTCCAATGCAAGAATAGGAGCCCAATGAGAATGCCATGAAAGCAGTCGGGTTGTGCGCTCCTTCGAATCCGGAACCCTCGATCCAGCGTTCTGGGATAAAGTCCCAAGGTTTTTCAAAGTTACGAGGATCGTGGTGGACAGTCCACGTGGGGACACTGACTTTGGTTCCCTCGGGAATGTGAAGACCAATCGGTGTCATCAGTCCACCAGGTGAGTTGACGATTCTTTGATGGCCGTTGGGTCCCGACGGCAGAAGTCTTAGTGCTTCCATTGCGCACCCGTTCAAGTACGGGGCTCTCTTCCAATCTCCAAGTCTGGAGGCTTCAAACTCTTCTCCTTCTGCAAAGATGGTCTTGCATTCCTCGCGCAGTTTCAAGTATGCCCTCCTGTCCTGAAGCAACCAATACATGGCGGATCTGTTACCAGTCAGTAATCCATCTACTTGTCTCGTGGCTTGAAAATCGACACAGAGGAAAAACATACGTGATGGCAATGCTTGTGGTATCGGACCCTGCTGCGATGACCAGTCTTGCCTCCGAACCTAGGCCTTCGGTCGACATGGCGTAGGCTGGATTCCTCTTTCCGGCTGTCATCAAAAATCCAAGGACATCGATTTCAGCAGACCCTTGCTTCAGTCTTTCAGCGAGTTTCTCTTCACTGAATTGGACGTATCTGTTGATATTGTCCATTTGTTGACGGTTGAGAGGCATGTAGGCTAGAAGTGGTTTCAACCACGATATTTCTCCCAAGGTGGCAATATTTTTCAGATATGAATGGATGAACTCGACATAGAAGTGGGCTGTTGCATCCTGGACCGAATTGAAGTCCACATTCTAATTCGTTAGCGTTTTGAGCTTTATTCAACTACCATGATCAAAGAACTTACAAAGGCGATTTTCCCTGTCGTATCAACCAACAAGCGCTCAGACCACGTAGACAAATCGATCACCTCTCCAGTCTGTGCAATTGTCTTCAAACGCTCTGACAAGGTTTCGAAAACTGACATGATGCGAGTTTCATACACCCTGAGTGCCCTAGGAGTGAAAACTTCATCCCAAACCTTGCGGCGGGACTTGTGTGTGTCAAAGTCGAGAATCGCGATCAGCGATTGCACAGGCTCAGGGTTCATGTGCTGATACCATGGCCCCTTGGGAAATCTAGACTTGTTGCCATGAACGATTGGAATGAACGATGCATCTGCAATCGAGATCTCGTTGGGTCCGATGCGGACAAAGTCACCAAGTTGACGATGCTCCTTCATCATCACATGATGTACTGTCCCGCGACTAGCACGGAGGAAACCTCCCCATTTTGTGGCAGCGTCCAGCGTGTGCCCTGGGAATTTCCGCAAGGGATTAATATAGAGTCTGTAGATAACGATGGAGACACTAAAAATAATCAGCTTCCCAACTGAAGGTAATTTGTCCCGTTCTTTCCTACCTCAGAGTGCTGATATACAGCAGAAGCGCTCCCCCAGTCGCCCAGAGATCTGCTAAGGAAACTTCATGGGTGATGTGTGGCTTGCTGATGAGAAAGAACAATCCGACGCTCAACATTGCCGTGTGAACAAGAAAAGCTTCCGCTGTGGGCTCGACTCGTTTATAGAATTGATGTGCCGTCTGAAGGCCAGATTAGACTCACATTTAGCAAACGAAAGGATGGAGAGAAGACAAACCAGTCCGAGAACCACAGGGAGCCACGACGCGTTTGCGTGCTCGCTGATGAATGCTGCTACTTGCGAGGCGCTCATGATTGGTGAAGTCGAGATGAATAGTCACCCTTTCACTACACTGCAAAGGCTTCCTAACAAGCAAATGGCTGAGTTTCTCCAAACGCGGGGTGATATAATGTAATGAAGTTCGGAGAGACGTTTCTTGGTCCGGGGTCCCCTTGAACAACGGCCGATGGAGACGCTAAGTAGTCCACGCCGTTGATCGAGTATAATCCCGGGAACACGATTGGTACGGAGGAGAGAATGCTGTCGACCCCGAAAACCCTTACCCTATTAGGACATTGCCTCAGATGGCTATGAATACCTCGATTTCTGCTCTAATTATGCAGCCTAAGTCTCTATACACGGATAATTTGCAGCATTCGAATTCACGTCGTACCACTATGCATGGACATGTCGTCGGAGTGACATGGCCTAGAGCTGACATCTCCTTCACAGACATTTCATAATTAAGAAAGTGGCTTCCGAGAGCTCGGAGACAAAAGCAGTGCTATTGACCAGTCGCGTGAGAACTCTGTGGTGTAGTTGAAGTAGGAGTGAATGTCCCTCACCATCAATAAATAAGCCGATACCCCGTTTGTGGATCGTTGCAGATACGTCCGATGATGGTCATCTTGCGATCTCGGAGGAATTTGATGTATTCCATCAACAAATTCGTCAAAAGGGCGGACCAAAGCAAAACACATCTGCGGACTCGGTAGATAGCGCGAAGTCGAAGTCGATGGGCTCAATCTCGCTGGGTCTATATCTCTACGGCATCGTTGCTAGAGGCATGTTTGGAGCCTCTCCGGCGTTGCAGAAGATCTTAAGTCCCATCTGAAATCGTGGCAGGGGCGTTTCCCTTAGAGGACGCCGCGCAACGCTGGACTAATACGTATAACGCTTTTGTAAAGCTTCTTCAAATGACAATATACCATCACCATTGGCATCGAAGCGCTTGAAGTGTTTCACTGCGTCGGTGTAGGCATCAGGGTAGTCCCATACACTCTCGTCAAAGTATGGATTGATCAACGCCCAGCCCTGAATGAATTCTTTGAAGGTGATCTCGCCATTCTTCTCGATCGTAGAGTCCAGAAGATCGAATTTTTGGCGTGTACATGCATGTCCAGAAGCGTCAGGTACGGCACAACTATCATCTTCCTTGGGTGAGGAGACGTTGCTAGGGTTCCACGCAGAGCCTGGCCAAGATCGTACAGACATCCTGCTTGCCGTTAAGGGACATGAGTCGAACTGGATACAGCCGTCGTCACAGTTGCAGCAGAAAATGTTGCAGGGTCCGCTACCGCAACAAGCGAAGTGGTTGTAGCGGATAGAGGTACTAGAGCATGCGAACAATGGCTTTCTCCCGCTGCACGCTTGCGGGCCAGGACAACACTCGGCGGCGACGTAGGATACTTGGCCGAGTAATGCTATCGCGAAAAAGATGGATGATATAATTCGTATCTTGGCCATGTCTGTAGGACGCACCGTGGGCGGGTTTGGGTAGGGTAATAGTATATTCAAGTATTGAAATAGCAAGATAGAGACATTGCGAAGCATCAACAGCAGTTATATTTCTCCATCCTTTTCCACGGGTCAACCCAGCATCAGAAGGCTACTAACGAGGATTCGGATTTAGACCCCCAATACCAATAGGTTTGCAAATATTGACATCTAATAAACCTAGCATCGTTTTCAGCACCAAAGATAGAAGCCCGGATGCAAAAGCCGTCACAACAAAACCAAGATCAAAGCGGGACAGACTGCAAGACATCATTTCACTAGGCTATTTGATGGCGTCTTCCATGCGAGTGGCACTATTGGTTTTCTGGAGTAGGTGGGCCCGTAATTAGCAAAAATCGCCAAAGCTCCAGGGTCTACTTTTAGGCATCGCCAGCCTAGCCCGCCGACTAAGAAGTCCCTAAAGTACACATGACATGAGCTTGGATCAGGCCAACATCTACGTCTGGCAACGTCTGTTCGCTAACTCGCTTATCGGGTTTACGCGCTTACCACATGTTCGTCCACCCCACTACGAGGAACAGATTTATCTATTGCTTCTGGAAACGCACACGGCAACTAGAGTACACTTCTTCACTTGGAACGAGGTCCGTGCATTCAACGATGGTCCACATCAGTGTCATACTGCTGCTTCAGAATGGGTGATGGCGACCAAGGTAAGTTGAGGCGTGAAAATGGACCTGACATATCATTATATTACCTAGAGTCAGTGTTTGGGTTCTGACTACGACGCTGGGGCCTCTCTGCCAGAGCAAAGGCTTGGTGGTTAAAAGCGTACATCATCGTCATTAATCCTCGAAGATTCTCAACTAGACTCAAACCGGAGATGAAGTTATTGTCAACAGTCAGCACTGCGATGGCGGCGTTAGCCATCCTCGCAGATGCAACACCTTCCGTGCCTGATTCACCTTCGAATCCTTTAAGCAAGCGAGACAATGTCAGTGACTCCGCGATCTGAAAGCTCTTTGAAGCGTCGCTGATATGGTTTCTTTTGTGACTGACCCTTCCCTAGAGTTGGACTGCTTGCGACCCCCAGAACTGGGATAACCCCTACGAAACGTCGAACGGAAAGAAATTCTACTACAACTGCGAATGGACATATTCGACCCGACCTAGTGGCTACATCACCGACTACATTGGACGATCCTTCCGGCTTTGCATGGATGACTGCTCTCACACGGCGAATTGCAAGGGAATTCTCTGGGAAGAGCGTACAAAATCATGTTGGCTGTTCAGGGATATTACCAAGCAGTCTGGTCGCGAAGTATCATCTAGTGATCTCAACCAGGGCACCGACTCTGCGATTCTTTGTGGATATGCAAGCTCGGGATGCTAGGAATGCCAATCATTGCAGAATAGAAGTATCGAGCGAAATTTATAAGAGCCCCATTAGACTTCCAGATTTCCATATTGACGGAGTACTTGAATCAATTGAGAAGCCATCATCAAAACGTGGGCCCTTTATTGCTGTTATGGACGAAATATCTCGACAATTAACCGTATGTCAAGAGGTGTGGTCTGAGTGTTTGCACAACCGCGAAGAGTTTCTCATTTAGCAGAGTCCGCCATACTTGGCATCGCATGAGAGTACATGGCCATGCGAGCACTCAGTTCGGTGGGGTTGCACCCGAGACTGTGGAGCCCGTTCTGTATCTCTTGAGAGGGACCTTTAGAATACGATCGCGGTCTTCGGTTTTCTACAAAAGCCGCATGTATGAACTCTACCCTAATTGTGATATTCTTCATTCTATAGCTTGGACGTTCTGGAATGGTAATAGAATAGACGTGCTCTGGGTCATTTATGTTATGTTCTACAGAAATCTAACAACTTCTAGTGACAATCACTTTAACAGAGCCCAGTATCTATGGCTAAAGGAGAGCCTTTATGCCATATCAGATACTAGACTGGGTCATCATCGTCTATACGACCTATGGAGTCCTTTCTTCATTGATAGCTCACCAGACTAGGAAGCTTCCCAAGCGCGGGAAGAAATCTCCACCCCGTATCGATACTGGACCCTCTGGCAATGCTTCCTTCGACGAAAGCTGGTGAAGCTGCACATTTTGAAGCTTATCACTTCTCTAAATGCCTACGACGAATGGGAAGCAGGGATCCACGACCACCACCTGGTCCACCAACCGTCCCAATCCTAGGCAATGCAAATTTGATCAACCCAACAGGTGTCTACAAACAGTGAGTGCACCACAGCCTATAACGTCATTGGTGAGATTTCTAAGACTGGGGTCAGCCTTCGTGGTTGGCCAGAGGAATATGGCGGTGTCTTCAGTCTCAAGCTGGGGTCAGAGACAATGATTGTTCTTGCGGATAGTGTAGGACTCTTTGTTGTGTTTCAGGATGTCGTTCCACAACATCACAATCGCAGCTTGAAAATTACATTTAATAGGTACTTTTGTCAAAACTTGCTTTCCTGGGCTCCATCATGAACAACAACAACTTTGGACTGCTGGACTTATACTGAAACATATGCCAGTCACGTGCCTGTTCATCATTCCAGACTTTGACGTCTCGGCGACTACTGGATATCAACGGGACGCCCTATGGCGCCTTGACGTCGAACCCATTCAGAAGGATGCCCACATAACTATAAAAGCCTGTGTAATGAATCACTGCCGCTGCTCCATCTTTGCCTAATACTTGCACCGCATTGTCATATGCTGCCTGATCCAAGACTTCAGGTTTGCCCAGCGCACTTGCAAGATGAAAAGCCGCTTTGCCTTCATCAGTCAGGGTATCAGGACACCTGCCAGCATGAATTTCATGGAGCTCGTCTTCTGTGATACCTGCGCGCTTGGTTGCGATAATATGGTGGGCGTAATTCTCGTAGGCAGCCTGTGACCGTGATCCAGCTACCGCAATGACAACCTCTCGCCCGTAGAGTGAAAGGCCGGGGATCGTGTGTAAAGCCTTGACCAGGTCTTGGAATCTGGGGGCAACTTGGGGATGGTGCAGTAGCACTCCGTAAGGTCCGATCAGTGACCCATCTTCCATGAAAAACTGTGGCGCGGGCTTGGAGTCCCCGTAACGTGTTGCTATCGACTCGCTCATAGTTTTGTAGGCCGTTTTCTGCTCATCGCTCAAGCTCGCCGGCGGTAGTAGTCCCAAACGATTCGACATGGTGTGAGACTATTAGCTCCTACAAAGCCTCGGTGTGAGTCGGCAAGCGGCCCCTTTCGTGGACCGAAAACAGACGATATTCTTGAATGGACAGATTTCAATTCTCTACCTTGTTTAAACCTCGTTGAAATATCTCAAACATGTGAACAAACATATATTGATTGCGCGTCCCATGTCAAGGGTTTTCTTTGTCATCTACGCGGGGAACACGCCATAGCCTCGGCACACAAGTCGCTTCCAGACGCTCCTCTCACTTTAGGCGACACGATGCTCTTTTGGATTGTTTTTGGACAACTACTACATATGCCTTGAAGGATGTCTAGAATGAGAATTCAGACCAAGTAGTCCAAGTTATCCCTCATACCCAACCCATGATATGTTATCCCACGTGTTACCGGTATCTGGGGTAGTTGGCTGTTGTTTGCCCGAGGCCTTGGGGTTTTAAAACTTCCCCACATCTTAGACTTGCCGGGCTTCCGATTGGCTGCCGCTATGCACACCGGCGCCGAGATGGTTACATAGTGAACGGTGACTTTCTGCAGAACCGTTATGAGATCTATCTAAAATATGCATGTCTCCAAGCGCCTAAGGTCTTGAAAGCTAAGAGCTACCTATTTCCTTGATCAGGCTGTTTTCAAAGCGTACTGAAAACATCACACGACCATTACTCGAAACCATGGCGCCAGTAACAGAAGTGGCTTTTCTGCCAGTTCGCCCTGGGGTGGATATCCTTGACACGTCTATCCCAGACGGTCAGGTGATGGACAACATGCTCAAAGTCGGCAAAGTGGCTCCTGGTGTCACAAAGAACTACTACGCCGTAGAAGAAGAGAATGCATCGCATGCCCATCTCTTGTTGGGTGAGCAGTCCTTCTGGATTTAAACAGAGGTTCTTCTTCGCTAACGTGTCAATGAAAGACTGGGAGTCTATTGAAGCCCATAAGAAGTATCAAGCTCGGCCAGAATATCCAGAGTTCCTGGCGGCAGCTCACTCCATGACCGATCCAAGCCAAATAGCAGAGGGGTGTCATGTGTATTTTGACCCTCATCCACCCTCAAATGCATTGTACTCACCGGTGACCGAAATCCTTCGAGCATACTTTTTGGTCGAAAAAGTACAGAAAGAGGGCTTGGCCTTCGAAGCTGGTTTGAAGAAACTGCTGGCAGCTCTGAAAGCAGCCCAAGTGGCTGGATATACCGGAGAAGTCTCTTCAGGATGGTCAGTCGAAGAGCTACCTCGCGATGGCAAACAGTACAAACTCTTTGTAGCTTTCATCGGCTGGGAGAGCGTCGCAGCTCATGCAGCAGCATCCAAGACTGACGTCTTTCTGGAGAATGTTGGGACAATCTCCCCGGATGTCATCACGGTTTCTCATGCAACTTTCAAGTCGCCGTGATCAGATCAACACTTTAGCAGAATAAACCGAGTTTCATTGTCTACCCCACGACAATGTCCTCGAAGTTACTCTGATCTGTCACTAGTTGACGAATTCGAATTAATTATCTATGATATAGTACATATCGGCCCCGAACGTTGTGTGCGTCCTTTTCCCTTCCGGCCGCCGAGTAGATAGAGGATGAACGTAGAAAAGGATTAACAACCTTGTGTATATCTACAGCTATCTAAAATGCCGAAACTCATCCAAGGACTATCTTTGGAACTCGCCCATCTGTTCATACTCATATTCACCACGCTGGGTGGTCATTGCCCCGACGCTGGAGAATTTGGTTGGTGCAACAGATTTGGTTGGCGCGACAGAGCCGTTGTTTTGATGAAGAGAGCCATTTTCGGTTTCGACGTTGCCAGTGACAGTCCGCATGATCTTCAGGGCATCTTCCTTCTCGGGAGCTTTGTCTGACCTCCAAGAAACGTGTTGATCGGGTCTGACGAGGACAAACGTCTTCTCCCACAATTGTCGAGCACGTGTCTCATCTGGCAATTGCACATGCTTGAGAGGCACCCCAAGTGAAGTTGCTGCATCGATGAGAGACTGGGCGCTGGTGTCTCCATCTGAGCTGAAATCGACAAGACTGTACCACGTACCGAAAGTATCAAAGATTGGCATTCCGTCATTTAGAAAGACGTGAGGAGCACGAGTGCCTGGCCATGTGGTTGGTGTATACTTCGATGGAACCCACTCGGGTTGGTCGCCCTCCGGGTCCGGAATACAAATTTTGGATTTGTACCTTTGACCCATCTCAATACCAAGATCTTTGTTCTCGCCATCGTTAGCTTGATAATGTTGGTGGACTGAGTTTAGTACAGCGGTGGCAGCTTCTGGGTCGAGCTCTGAAACAGGGCCTTGAGCACCAAATAGTTCTGCGCCCGTGCCGTGGACCGCATTGTGAACTCCGGATCGCTCTATCGAGGTCATGGCGATTGGACGCCTATCATTCTCATAGGAAGATAAAAGTCCACGGCCTCCCCATCCTTTCAAGACCGCCGCCAGCTTCCAGCCTAAGTCGAATGCATCGCCCAGTCCCATATTCATTCCATAACCACCAGTAGGGATATTTTGATGCGCTGAATCACCCGCTAGGTAGATTCTGCCTTTTGGACTGGAGTATGCCCTCGCAATTGCAATGCTAGGTCTATAGGTGGACCTTACGAGGATTTCATCGATTTTGATCTTGTATGGGTTGTTCCATCCGCCTAAAGCGGTGTAAACAGCGTCGTGGGAGTCAATTGATTCATGGGTCTCCCCAATTGGGATATGAAGATGTGTTGTCCAGGTATCCTTCTCGTCCTGTGCAATGATAGCTCCTCGAAAGCGGCCTTCATCAATGAAGAAGATGTGCCAGAACAAACCCTGACGATGCAGAGCAGTCAGATCACGAGATTTGAAGTGAATCAGAAGTGTGTAGGTTGGTCTAGATCAAAGTATTCTGTTAGCGTTGTGGTCGTCACAGGCAGCCTGGAAGAGCTGGGGCCCGACATACACTGGTCCACCGTCTAGTTCGATCCGCAAGCCACGTCGTATGCGACTAGAGGCACCATCACAACCGATTAAAAGTTTAGAGGAGATCGCCTCTGTGTGACCTTTGTCAAGGTCGGTTACTGTAGTAAGCACATCATCGGCACGCTCATCAGCACTTTCGACTTTCCAGCCGAATCTAGTTTCAATCATAGGGTCGAGATCACATTCTCCCTTCAACCATGCTTCGAAAACAGCCTGCGACAATCGTTGATAGGGTTCCAGCGGGAGGGTACCGTCATTCGACGCTGCGATGGCCTTGCGATAGTCGTTCACACTTGGATGAGGCCACTCCGTTATCGGCGCTTCATTGTGTAGAGATTTTGAAATCTTGACGCTGCTGGGGAATTCGGGAGGGACACCTTTTGGTTCCTGGCTTCAGCAAAGGATATGCTGCACCTCTACTTGAAATAACTTACCATGTTTGCGAAGCTCATCCGCCAACCCAATTTTCCGGAATAGTTCCATGGAACGCGCATTGGTCAGATCCATCTTGGGCCATCTGTACCCATGGTAAGCTGTAATTCTCATGAATGGGATTGTAATTCGAACCTCGTCGTAGTTGAGTTGCGCTCCAAGACGAGGGATTTGACGCCGTAGAAACTCAAGACCTTTGCCAACACCAGTCCCACTGGTCCACCTCCCGCAATAAGAATTCTATCGTTCTCGAGTGTTTCAGTAGATTGAGCATTGCCATTCACATGGCTGCTTGACGCGGGGAGGTGCCCTTTTGGATGCTCATCAACTGTTTGGAAACCCGCAGCCATGATGAGTTGTTGAACTCGCCTTGTTGAGATGAGCGCAGTGATTAACATCAAAGGAAAGGCAACTGATTAGCAAAGCACCTAGTACATTACTGTTACCCGGGGCATATTTCGGCGCATAATATCATGTCCCCGAATAGTTGAGGTGCTCACGTAGACCGGGGGCGGGCACTTTAGACTCGGACCGAAAGATCTCCAGGTGGCACAACACTTTAGATCGTGGCAAACGACAAGAACAAGAATCTCCCGACCGCAATATAGTTCGATCCACTGCAATAATTTTGAAGATGTCGCTGATTCAACTTTCGAAGGATTTCGGGTCGCTGAAGGTTCAAGTTGTGGTTATTTCTGGTAGGTGGAAATATTGGTTTTGTTTCGCGGGTCGAAATCATCCTTGCTCATTGACACGGACCTGCAGGTGGAGCAAGTGGCATTGGAGAAGCGTATGTTCGACTGGCTCGAAGTCAAGGGGCATATGTCTACTTTGGAGACTTGGACCGCGAACGAGGCCAAAGAGTAGCTGAGGAAACAGGCGCTACATTCGTATGCACCAATGTGACCCAGTACAAAGACCAACTCAATCTGTTTGGCCAAGCCTTCAAGGAGCACGGCCGCATAGATCATGCTATTGCGAATGCAGGAATATATGAACCCACAGGGCTGTTTGATCCGTCTTCTGATCTGCAAAGCCTAGAAAAGGTGCGGTGGTGCACGCGAGGCCATCCAGGACTACCACTTATTGTGACGTTAGGGGCCTCGAACTGCTATCATTGATGTGAACCTACATGGCGCATTGCTGTTTGCCCATATTGCTGCAGTCTACCTCCGGCAAGGCAAATCTGCTACCGATAACACATCATTGACGTTTGTTGCATCGACCGCTGCGGTCGTCTGCCCTGCTGGGACACCTGCATATAACGTAGGGGAGGTCGATGAAAATCCACACTTCAAATGCTTACAATGGACATAGGCCACCAAATGTGGGATGATTGGGCTATCGAGGACTCTAGCGCAATCGCTCCCAGCTAGCCATGGGATTCGTGTCAACTGTGTTTGTCCTTCTGTTACGGAGACCCCGTTGTCGGCTTTGCATGTCCTGCCACTTTTCCGGCAATTGCAACTTCCAATAAACTCAGCGCACGAACTTGCTCAAGCGCTGGCTGGGGTGGGCTGTGATTCCACATTGAATGCAAAGGTTTTATATGTTGAGGGTGGACAATCTTGGGACATCGAGGAAGGCTTGAATGAGACGAGAACGACATGGTTAGGCCCCTCGATCATCAACACACTTGACAAGGTCGCAGAGTACGTCAAGCAGAACAAAGGATAATCTGATTCTCGTGGTAGCTGCACCTGCGGCTACTATTACGTAGAATGCCTGTCACGTCGACGTCTAGTCGCCCATACAAAAACTACCTTCAACAACTCAATATATATGTCTGAGTCTCCTTAGACATCCTACAATTTGTAGCTTTCATCTTAGTGGCTGATGGAAAAGTCAATCGACTCTACCGGGAAGTTGTCCATGGCCATTGACGAGACTTGAGTGAAGGATGGTAAGAAGCAAGTCCAACTGTCTGGGTCCATATCCGTTCCGGTAAATCCAGCCAGCTCCTGAAGATGTAATGTCAGTGACTAAGTTGTAGGCGAGAACATAAATAAATCTCGTACCTCGTCCCAAGAAGTGAGATCTAAAGTATCAGTGCCACCTGCTTCGAAGGCGTCACCCGAGGTTGTAGGCACCTCAGTGCTGGCAGTAGTACGAGGGCCCTGCGCACGCTGTACAACATTCTGGGCAAGAGTTACAAGATCCTTGGTGAATGGAAAGGATTTGTTGGATGCCGTGGCATAGTCCATATATCCAAAGTATCCCGCAGCCATCTGCAGCAGACCGAGATCAGAAGAGACAGACCTTTGTGTGGGATGCTTCAAGATATATACAAATAAATTGATCATGCCGACAAGAGGGTACAAAAATACCTCCCTGTGAATTTGTCAGTATATTGTTTGAATGAACTGTCTTGTGGACGCCATCTTGTCTTACCATGCTGGAGCAGCTGCAGAGATTGTCAAATACTTGGTGGCCAATATGATATTTCGCGACGCTTCAGCGACAGCCTGCATGCTTGAATTGATTTGTGGGATGAGATCAACATCTGACCCTGGATGAGAGTTTGTTGTTTTCCATGGATAGGCAAAGACGGAGTGTATTGCAGCCAAGCTCCCGAAATAAGCCATATGGAGGTAAAGGATATGAGTTATCTGAATGCCAGAAGAAGCGGGTAGCAAGTGTGCGGGACTGAGCTGAAGAGACTCAGGGATCGTCTGGTACCAGGACCGAAGCCTCGCATCGATCTCGTTGACTGTTTGGACCGTCTTTCCCATGTCTCGCCGGCGCGCTTCTGCGTTTGTCAATTGATCAACAATTACGGATGAGATCTGCGCATGGCGAATGATGTGGTAGAAAACATCTGTCTTGGCCGAGGGTTGACCAGGAACCGGCTCTGGTAGCTCGCAATCAATGTCGTTGTCTCTGATCATCTGTTGCAAGTGTGAGTTTAGCGCACAATGCTAGGAGCACTGTTCAGTGAAACTAACCGAAGGACGACCAGCGCGATACGCAATGTGCTTCTCATAAAAATACATCGCCCAGAACATTCTGCTTCGTAGGGCAACTTCGCTCGCTCCCATCTTTGACGTTGGTCCCGGACGCAAATGAAGCCCTTTCGACTGGGCCAGGCGAACAGTGGTGCTGATGAGCATATACTCCAGCTGTGGCGTACCAGCACCTTCGATGAACAACGACTAAACCGAAAATATCAGATTAGCGTCAAGAACTGAATCCAATATAAAGTGGCAAAACTTACCATGGCCAATAGTGCTTGAACAGCGGAAAGGTTTGATTTGAAGTAGACAAGTTCTGTGTGGACTGACAGAGCATTCTCGAAATAACCCCAGGCTGTATTCTGAGCGTCTACCCAAGTCTCTGGCACCGCTTCTTTGAAGACGGAAGCTCTGCAACCATAGGCGTACACCACATTTCGCAACGCGTACCAAGCGGGATCATTATCAAGCGTACCTATATCGCTGTGCTCACTCAGCCGCCGCTCGAAAGATGCACGGTCGATGATATCAAAGACGGATTCGAATGCTTGATCGAAGTATGCTAATATGTCTTCGTCAGTGGATCAAATTGACCACGGATAGCGACAAGGTATCGCACCAGCAGCATATCTCCTAGCACAGTCCAGCGGCGGTTCAGGAACCCTGGTCTGGTGCGTCGGAGCCTGGATCTTCAGGCCACGGCAGACTTCAGTGGCTAATGTGCTTGCACTGTTTGAGAAACCCGATGGGCCTATCTGTTTTGAGACCCACTCAGCTGCAGGATCACTGCAGATTGACAGGTAGGATCCGGGCCCTAGAATCGTCAGTTTCAGGTTGTCGAAGGAACATTGGGTGATGAGTACCATGAAGTTCGTCGTGTGGGCACTGGTAAAAAGGTCAGTATGTAATAGGCGACAAAGACAGGCGAGCATCTCACTGAAGGGTCGTTGGTGCTCGAGACCACGTCTTGCACGCTGAGGCTTCGATTCTGCGAACTGCTGCATGGCTCTGCGATCGTTGTTTGTGATCGTCCCGAACCTGACTGGATAACATGGGGTGGGCTGTTGGAGCATTGAGTAGAGGTTGTACAGCTCCCACCAGAGGGATGTAATGGCACCATCGTGTCGCGATTAGCGTCTCTCATTTCTAGGTCATTTACGCTTTGATTCTCGATCGAGAGGAGGTTGTTCTGAAATGGCGAGGCAAGATTGCTGACTTCCCGATTTTGGTATGACAGACCATCGATATCAACTAGGCGATCAATGCCCACGCTTGTCTCATCTGGCATAGTCGTATGGACTTCATTTGAAATGATGCTAGGAGTTTCCGCTGGCGCAGACGGTGGTCCGTCATCATTTCTTGGTGCGGGAAAGATAGGTGCAGGTTGATACGGAGCAATGGCGATGCCAGCTTGACGCAGGAGTTTTTCTGCCCTTTCTAATCGGTCCTGGAGGGCTCGTTGTTCATGCTTTACCGTTTTCCTTTTCTTCGAGATTCGTCTGCTGATAGGCGTGAAGTGGCAGAGCTCTCCATGAGACTGTTTAGGTGGTCATGATGGTCAGTTTCGTTCATGCGCTCATAGGTCAGAAAAAAGGGTTGTCCTTACCACACACTGGCGACACGGGTGAGATCCTAAATTAACTCAGTCACATTGTCCTGTCCATAAGGTCCTAGGCAGAGAAACCTACCAGTACACCGAACTTTTTTTGTTCGGCAGTAATCGCATGCTGAGGTCAACTTCGAAGATTTACCATCTTTCGATTCAGTATTTCCGGGCACAGGATTGTTCATTTGTGAGAGATCCATTACAGCGAAAAACGGTTATACACTGTTAAGAGAGCTACAAGGAAAAGAGTTTGAGTACGGTGGCCATGTTATCTGGTACCAAGCCCTGAAAGCTCTGGCATTTAGAGCCCCAAGACCCCGAGATATCCGGGGGATGGGGTTGCGGGGCAATGGCCCGAGGGGCGCAAACTGTCAACGTACTATCAGTGTCGCTTGGCCATTGTAAGAGCTAACTGGGGGCAAAGTACTTCGTAAACCCTCAAACGAGGTCCAGAACCTTTTCGAATTTCATCGTTTAGGGTTGGCCAGTCATTTCTCAAGTCGAATAGCACGAAGCTTGCGAAGCAGCAGTATTTGTGGTCACACTTGTGGAGGGCTTTGGGAGATTTCATACTCGTCAATGGACATCCCACACTATCAATCATTCTTACAAATTTAAAGGCTCAATTGCTCCGAACATTATTAAAAGTTATAACCATGATTATTCAACCAGGATCATCAAGTCTCGCCAAACATATTAAGCCACCGAGGGCCACTACCCTCCCACCGTTTGTAAACGACCACGCCGACCTGTCTCACGGTACCGAGACCGGACCTCGGAGTACTTGAACACCAATCAGAAGAGACCACTTAGGCCCGAGGCGGCCCCGGACCTCACCATAAGAGATATGGAGTCTGCGACGGGGCCCCTGAACTATTGTGGAGATGCTTTGGCATGACCGGATGCTGGTCCCCCATGGGGCCCCGAACTTCGTCCAGCAACTTCGGCGCCAATGGTATATATCTTCTACTACGTCCACTCAGGATGGTCTCCTGAACCTGGACTGGACCTGGAAGATCGAGAAATACAAGCTTTCTGGGCATCTGCACGGTTTGGGAGCATCTACAATGCAGGAAAAATCGGCAACGCCGGACTATATGGCGGAACCAGCAGTGAATGAAGTCGAAGCAGTGCCCTCTGATGGGAAGTTTGAGAAAGAGGAAGTTGCTCACAATGCAGTTATCAAAGGCGATGACTCGGATGGCAAGCTCGACTGGACTATTCGCTCGTTCGTCGCCTATCTCTCACTATGCTTCGTCTATACCGGTAAGTTGACATGATCTGGTGTCGCATAGCCACTAAACAGTCCGACAGGCTCTCAAATGCCGCTTTATTTTTGTGCAGGCGCACTTTCCTATATCTCTGCTGATGTTGGAGGAGGGTCTGCTGGTTCCTGGCTGCCTGTCTCTTACACGTTGGCTGCGGCCGTTCCAATTCCCTTCTGTGGCTATCTCCAGGACATCTTTGGCCGCCGCGTCATTGCCCTTGGTGCAGCGCTCCTGGTCATCATTGGAGCTATCATCATGGGAACTGCACATTCATTTTCACAAGGCGTTGCTGGCATGGCCCTCAGCGGTGCTGGTGCCGGTATTGCCGAGCTTTCCGCCCTTGCAGGGTATGTAACACGCTCAGCGTTACCAAGTAACGAGAGCCTAGATACTGACTCTACAACCGCAGTATCACCGAAGTTGTTCCAATCCGGGCCAGGGGTTATAGCGTAGCTATAATGACAGCCGTCGCCCTTCCTCTTGGGCCATATGTGCTCTACTGCCAGCTCCTCGCCACTCGCTCGACCTGGAGATGGGGCTTCTGGATCGTCTGGTGAGTACAAGTTTCTTGAAGCATAAAATAATGATGCTGACGGATAATGATACAGCATATATCAAGGCATTGCTTTCGTTGGCGTTGCACTACTATACTTCCCATCTAAGCATTCTCTGCTCGTCGGCATGCGCCGGAGAGAGATCATCAAAGGTATTGATTACATTGGAGGGCTTCTGTCCCTTGCTGGCTTGACATTATTGTAAGTTTTAGAAGCCTATTTGGAAGAGATCTCGCTGACTCGTCTCTAGCCTGGTGGCTCTACAAAACGGTGGTTATCTATACTCCTGGGCGAGCGCCCAGGTTTTGGCGCCTCTCATCAGCGGCATCTTCACCCTCATTGCCTTCGTTGTGTGGGAAATGAAATTCGCAAAAGTTCCAATGGCTCCACCTGTACTATTTAAGCGCCGAGTCACACGAATGGCGTTCAGTATCTCATTCGTTGCGGGCATGAACTTCTACTCCTTGACGAATTTCGCCCCCACCTATTTCAGCAGTGTGTATCCTGCTGATCCTCTTCTGGTCGGCGCGAGGGGGGTCGGTATGCCAACAGCTACAATCTTCGGTGCAGTTTTTGGAAACTGGTTTCTGTCAAGATACCCGCGGTTTGCGAAATGGTCCGTTGCAAGTTCCTGTGTTTTGATGAGTAAGTGGTCACCCTTTATTTTTTTCCCCCTCCGATTGAGCTTTAAATGTCTTTCTCACCGTCTGCTAACACCTCATCAAGCGGCCTTTGTGGGCTCTCTAGCTGCGGGCAATCCCACCAACGCCGGATTCGTCACGGCGGCAACGACCGTGGCTGGCTTTGCGGTGGGTGGACTAATTGTGCCAGCCGCGACCATTGCTACTATTGCCCGCCCGGACGATATCATTGCCACTACTGCTGGTCTCACCCTCGCCATACGTGCAGTTGGCGGATCTATTGGATTCTCGATCTATTACAACATTTTCATCAACAAGCTCAACGCCAAGTTGCCAGCAGAGATCGCTTCATACGCGATTGGCGCTGGTCTCCCGGTCGAGTCTGCCACTGAGTTTGTCACTACTTTCCTGACCAATACTACTGCATTGTCGAATGTCGATGGAGTCGATCCATCAATCATCGCAGCGGGTGCTCTCGGCAGCCAATGGGCATTCGCAGATTCGTTGGCCTATGTCTTTTACACGAGTATTCCCTTTGGAGTACTGGCGCTCGTGGCAGCCTACTTCCTTGGTGACATCAGGCCGTATATGACTAACCGAATCGTGGCCACTCTCAATCATTAGACGTACAATATTCGGTAGTTAGCTTGTAATTCTTGACCGCGATTCGCATTTGCAGATAACTCTCTAGCAATCAGAAAATATCAACCAGATTTGGCCAACCATACACATGATTCCATTTCCATAGATTCGCCACGTGGACCAGTTGTGACCCTGCCTTAGGTGCGAATATGGATTTAGCAAGTAGTCCTTTTACTGCACATCAGCAGCTTGAATTGCATGGGTGAAAGGCGCTCGACTCTGCCATTGTCCCGGAAGTCGTATTAGTCAGGCCACTGATTCACATAATGCAAGAACCAGCAACATCCGAATGGATTCGGCCGAGATGAGGCTCCGAGTGTCTTGCTGGGGACCGGGGACCCCGCGCCACTATCTCGGTGTATCGAGTACTCCGTATCTTTCTTCCGAGACACAAGCTAGCGCCCGAATTCTTTGGTCACACGGCCAGTCTACATTGTCGCCGTTCCCTTAGATGCTGGATATGACCTGGCTCGATGTTTCGATTTATCTAGACCGCAGAAACTAACATCATTCATCCTAAGTACCAATCATGTCCGAAACTCAAGTGACGCCGACAAAGTCTCCCGCGCATCTGGCGCATGTTGTCCTGCGGACAAACAAGTTCGAGCAGATGGTGAAATACTACAAAGACTTCCTTGGAGCACACGCTAGTTACGAGAACGAGATTCTATCATTTCTGCGATATGATCACGAGCACCACCGCGTCGCCATCATCAACACGGCCCAAGCTCCAGACAAGGCTCCTACCGCTGTTGGCATGGACCATATGGCATTTGCATTCGATGACTTGAACAACCTTGCCCTCGCTTACCGACAGCGAAAGGCGCTCGGAATACTCCCTACCATTTGTCTAAACCACGGACCAACAACCAGCATGTACTATACCGATCCAGATGGAAATAGAATCGAGACACAAGTTGACAACTTTGACACCGTCGAGGCAGCGAGTGAATTTATGGCCAGCGCTGAGTTTGCACAGAACCCGATAGGGGTCGATTTCGATCCTGAGGAGCTTTGCCGTCGCCTTGAGAGTGGAGAGGATCAACAAAGCATCAAAAAGAGGCCTAATATTGGCCCCCGGGGCTTGAATTGAGAGATATAGTATTTCATCAGCTGGTATATCATGAAGTTCTCAGTGTGATGTGTCAGATTTTGTCCCAAAGTAAAAATTCTTAAGGTAAAAGTGCTTGTATAATGGGGTCATTGAACTCCACGACAGATCCCCCAATTTCACGCGATGCCTTGGTCACCGCATATGCGTAGGCCCTCCCAGCCTCCGCGGGCTTTGTTAGTGTCCACGTAGAGGAAATCTCTTTGTAATTTTTGGCATCCTCTGCAGTCCAGCCATCATCTAAAAACATAATCACCGTCAGATTTTTCTTTTGTTCTGAATGTTCAGCTCATGTTGGCAGTAAACTTACATCCGCCTTCTGCGAGAACATGAATCATCTTGGTGTCACACAATCCAGGGGCTACACCCAGGACAGTGAGAGTAGGCTCCTCCAGTTGAAGCTGTTTGACTATAAAGGCCACAGCAGCCTTGGAGGTGCCATAGAAACCCCAACCGGGGAACAATGCCTGCAATCCAGCTGCCGAAGTCGTGAAAATGATTGTACCCTCACTCTTACGAAGGTGGGGAATAGCATGTTTCAACTGTCATAGTATGGCTGTTAGGAAGGGGAACCGTAACACCACCAGGACATGCCCACTCACTGTGTAGAGATGTGAGAATAGATTGACATTCATGGCCTTGATCCATTTTTCTGGGTCAGCATTGTTCAAACGGTGGCATGGGCCGAATGTCCCGGCATTCAAACAAACGCCTGTCAAGCCCCCGAACCGTTCTACTGCCTTCGATATGGCTACGATGGACGTGCTTTCCTGGACAACAAAGTAAGTCTATGAATCAACACCCTGCGAAGTTTGCCTGGCCTACTTTTGTGATATCGCCCACCACCACTTCCAGCTTGTCGCTGTGTGATGCCTGTAGTTGCTCCAAGTCCCCTTTGACAATGTCGCTAGCAACTACGCTGGCGTTCCGCTCTTCCAGTAAGGCTCGCACAATTGCGAAGCCCACTCCGCCAGCTGCACCAGTTACAAAAATGACTGGGTTAGATGCCATGATGACTCTGCTGATTTGTTTGAATCGCTCGAGCGTCGTCGTGATGAAGCCAGGCCCTTTTTACGGTCATTCTGTTGTCTCGCTTGGGCCATCCTCACAAGCAAAATTGAGGGGCCCCGGACCAGGAGTTTCGAAGTTTCTCGGCCCGGAACCAGAACACTCAGCGAATGGGTGTTGACTTCGGAGCCGCTGCCATTTGCTGGCCCCACTTTTCTTCTAAGCAAAAGTAGATGACTTGTGTTCATGTCGGCTTCCAGTCTGTGTACGAGAGAAAAGGGCTAATACACAGCAAGCGTCAATCTTCGACTTTTGCAATTACTACATTTACTTCTGCGATACGAATCATAATCAGAACAATGGTCAAGATCGACGGACAGACCTTTATCGTGTCAGGAGGGTAAGATCACTATAGTCTAAATTCGTAGTTTAATCCTTAGCAGCCTCGTATAGGTGCCATGGCTAACAAGCATCTACAGTGCCTCCGGACTGGGGTTCGGAGCTGTACAGGAGATCGTCGCTGCGGGTGGCTCCGTTGCCATCATTGATCGAGATGCAAGCGCAGAGCAGAAGGTGGTGAATGAACTTGGAGCAGACAAATGCCTATTTCATGAGACCGACGTGGGATCATCAGAGAGTATTGCAAAGGCGGTTAGCAACATTGTGGAATGGATTGGAAAAACTGGTCGTCCACTTGGGGGAATTGTCACCGCAGCTGGAATCGGAATTCCAACAATGGCTATCTCCGAGGATGGGGAGCCCTTGAACATGGAACATTGGGACACAGTGTTTCGAGTCAATGTGCGTGGTAGCATTGCTCTGGCGACACAGTTACTCCCACACTGGACACAGGCAGCCAAAGCGACACCAGATGCCGATCATGGCGCAATCATTTTCATATCTTCCATCACCGCGTTCGAGGGTTCCCATATGATGGCGGCTTACTCGTCGTCCAAGGCAGCTCTGATGGGCGCTGTCTTGCCTCTTGCTAGAGATCTTTCTCCCCATGGCATTCGTGTCGTGGCCATATCCCCGGGAGCATTTCAGACCCCGTTGTATGAGAGGTTGCCGGAGCCGATCAAAGCAGATCAGATTCGCTCGATAGCATTCCCAAAACGCCCAGGCAACCCGAGACAGCATTTTGCTCCGCTTGTCAAGCATATTCTTGAGAATGAGTATATCAATGGCACCACTCTGAGAATCGATGGGTGTAAGTTGAGATCAAATTCAAATTCATGAAACATGTGACTAATATATGTCTACGTAGCCATGCGGACGCCGTGGCCATAGAGCCAGCGATGAAGAGGGTGGAGAACTTGTGCACTGTTCGTTGACGAATTGGCTATCACCTCAGAAGAGATCCTAGACGTATTCGTGAATGATGACGATGAGTGTGCCGCCTGAAAAGGGCGATATAGGACAAAGTCGTCCACGGGAATAGTCAATCTCCAAAAGGTTAATCCAGTAAAGGTTGTTCCTTATTTCAACGAAGCGGATGCAAGCTGTTCACTAGCAAGTAGAGAAATCCATTAAGCATAACTAGTACCTAGCGCAGACTATCTCGCCTTATCCATAGCCCACTTATTGTAACGCTTACACTGAGCCGACAGCAACCACGAAGACCACACCAAGGCTAAACTTATGAGGATGCTTTCTGACTAGCAAGGTGAAGACCAGCAAGATATCCAAAGGTCATCGCCGGCCCAATACTGCTTCCTCCACCTGGGTAGGTACCCCTCATAATGCTGTTATTGTCGCAGCCAACTGCGTAGATGCCCTCAATCGCTTTACCGTCCTTTGCCAGGAGCTGCCCATTTTCGTTTGTTGATAACCCATACATCACACTAACGTTGCCAGGGTAGAGTGGAAGAGCATAGAATGGTCCCTTTTTGATTGGTCCCAGGCTGGAATTTGGTTTCACAGTCGGATCGCCGTAGAATTGATCGTAGGTACTCTCGCCGCGGTGAAATTCAGGATCGTGGCCTGTTTGGGCATATATATTCATGTTCTCCACGGTGGACATCAGGTTCTCCTTTGGAATGCCCAGCTTATCAGCCAAAGCAGGGATCGTTGGTGCTTTGATCAGGTAGCCCCTCTTCATCACATTGAAATTCCAATATGGCCACGGAAGAGCCATGCCCATCCCATAATTGCGAAGATGATCAGCGTCAGCAATATAGTAGGATTTGGTGATGCCGCGGGCTTGCATTGTTTCGACAAAATCTTGGTAGTTTGTAGACTCATTCTCAAATCGCTTTCCGTTACTGTCCACTATGACGGTTCCTGGTTTGCAACGGTCACCGGAAAAGTGTGGAAGGCATCGCGTGTGACTTTCGTCGTACTGGAGAACGGATATCGGGCAATAGATGGCATTATCGGCATTTGGTGGGGGCAGATATCCTCCAGCTTTGAGACCAAGCTTGATTCCATCCCCAACGTTCGATTTGGGGACAGGAGTCCATTCCTGTGGCACAAATTCTTTACCTTCTGGAGATCTACCAAATCCACCAGTAGCGAGAACAACACCTCTTGAAGCTCTGATTTGAACATCTTTCCCAAACTTTCCCGAGGTGGTGACACCGACGACTCGACCATTCTCAAGGAGTAGATCGGTGGTAGCCTCAGTCTCCAGGGTCACACCTGAAATTATGGCCGAATGAAGTAGTCCTCCAACGAGGGCATTGCCACCTACCATTAAGGAGCCCTTGCCATAGACCACAACATCCGAGATCCAACCGACCCCCTTTTTGATTGTATGCACAAAGTTCGAGAAGGATCCGAAGGGATTTGTCAAGATGTCTATCTCAAACGGGCTCACTTGCAAGTTCCCGAATGCCTTAAATCCTTGCAAAGTGTAGCGGACATGACGTAGTTCCTGACCTAGAAGTCTCCCATTAAAGGGGCAGGCCCCAATTGTCCGACCCGTAGAGGCGCCCTCAAGATGTTCCCTGTAATCCGGTAGAGGGGCTGATAGATACTGTATAGCAGTATTGTCTTCAATCCATTCAAGCATTTTTGGCCCGGCGTCCAGGTAAGCATTGAGGTTCTTTTCGGCGCTTGCGTAGTTTGCGGGTCCCAGAACGTTGCGGAGGTATGTTTTCGCAGCATCTTTGCTGTCACTAACACCCATGCTAGGTTGATGTTTATTTCCCGGAACCCATAGACCTCCTAAGGAATACGCCGTCGTGCCCCCAAAATACTTTGACTTTTCGAGGACGAGAACTTTCAGCCCAGATCTAGCTGCAACGACAGCTGTGGTAAGACCAGCGGCGCCAGAACCCAGGACAATGACATCGTAATGGCGACTAGCAGGATCCCTCTGTAGACGATGCTCATTAAATTAGAAGACAGGGTGCTGGGACCTCGCAGAGAAGGCAGAAAAGAGCACATTTCAATGTGGACGAGTGTTGTATTAAAGACGCACCTGATCAAAACTATCCAACCTTTCTCGAGTGGTTTGCCAGAAGCAAAGGGAGCCTGCAACCTTTGTTCTCCGTATAGCAGCTGCTGCTGCTCCTGGAATACTCATGGCATAAAACACGAAAAGACTGGGTTATCGAACGAATGGATGGGTGTTGGATGGTTTTATGAAAATCTTTGGCTTTCTGCATCTTGTTGTGTTACAAGCTGTACATCTCGAGACTGAAGCCTGTGGAGTCCGTTCGGAGTATACTAGCCAGAGCTGCCCGAACCACAATACTGGAAACGGAGTGCTCCGTACATTAGATACCTTAGTTGAGGCTCGTACCTTGGGTATTGGTATTGGGATTGGGAGGCTCGAACAAGTCGGAGTCGGAGAGGAGGCTCAACCGGTCCGGCGCCAAACACCCTTGGATCAACAGTGTGGTGCAGTGTGCTGACCAACCTCCTCATCCTTAAAAGCCACGACTATATGACCTACCAATCTTGGTTGAGCAAATGCATTTCGATAGTTGCTGCGACGCTGCACATATTTCAATCCATCATCGAGCACTGGATATGAGGGATGGGGAAGGGGGAGAGGAAAGAGCAGAGGTTTCCATATGAGTATTAGTGGATTCTGTATCCGGACTAGTTACAGGGCAGCAATCTGATATCTGGGGAAGCTGCGACTGGCTGCGTGGGCAGTTGGGCACAACCTCTGATTTGACACGCGTTCTTTCCTCCTTTATGAGTACACTACGTGTGACTACTCCGTACATATGCGTAAGTCCATATTGGGCCTCCTCTTAATTTGTCAGTCCACAAGTGATAACCCCCATATTCAGTGAATCGGGAATCTCTGCAAATGGAATATAACATGCTTTTAATCAAATTAATCTATAAGCGGAATAATGGAAGAAATTCAACTTCCATGATCGACAGACTAATAATCCCTACCTTGGGCGCCTGGGCTACCTACTCCGTAGTCATGGCCAGACCGAGATCGAGGCTGACAACATCCGCGCTAAACTAAAAGTAAACTACTTTCCGGACAGTCATGGCCCACCCTAGCCATGTCACGCTATACCCAAACCGACTCTAGTTCTTCCCTCTGCCTCTCTTCCTCTCCTCAATCCCTCATCGTCTCCATCCACGGACCAGCAGATCCACGAAACTACGCCGATCTCAGCCTCCCGCCTGATTGGCGCCCTGACTCTCTGCCTTTGCATTTCCTGTACTATTGGAGATTGGGATTGAGATTGATTGTTCTGCTTGCTCATTACGCTTCACACCTCGCAACAACAGTTATGGCAATGCATCTCGTCTCGATTAACAGCCCTCGCCACCCATCTCCCTCTTGATTGCCGCTGTCTACGATCCCACCCCGTGCCTAGGTTCTCGATCCTCCAGGGCCAGACCCGCCGTCCCTTGTCCGTGAAGTCTTCCCTGCGGCCACCATCCGTCCCTGATCTCTGGATCTCTGGGTCCCTCCTCCACCTTCTTATCAATGCTCCTATTCCAATCGAGCCTTAGTGACTCCATCATCAACGGTCCGCCTGTTCTAGTCGCACACTAGGCCCAACCCAGAAGGCTGGGGGGGTTCTCTCGTACCCAGTTCCAACCTTGGAGCACGAGCTGCAATACTACAATATCATATATCCAGAGCCATGGCTTTTCCTGGCAGCACATATCATGCAGACTCAGACGCCGACGACGAGTACGAAAGGAGTGTCATGACTTCTCCAACCCAGCTGCACACAGATTCGGAAACCTCCTCTGAGCCTCATTCCAACGAGCATACTCCCACCACCTTTGACCATCCCGGCGAAGATCCAAACCTACCCAGAACAGTCATTACAGAATGGTCTCCAGAAGACTGCGCCCAATTTGTCACCAGTCTGAACCTGCGCCAGTATCGTGAGGCCTTCATTGGTATGTTTGCAGCCAGCCGATTAAGTCCAGGCTGTTTGAATGCTAACCCCATCCAGAACAGGGCATCGATGGCGAAGTGCTCATAGCCCTCAAGCACGATGAGTTGAAAGAGATGGGGATTGCCAGTGTCGGCCACAGACTCACCATATTGAAAAATGTCTATGAAATGAAGGTCCGGCAAGACATCCCGGTCGAACCTGATGATTATGTTCCTCCAAGTAAGACTGCACATCTTCTTGCCACACGGCCATTCTAACCCCTAGCCAGCCGCCGAAAGAAACCCTCAGTATGAGATGGCAAGCAAAGAAGACATTGCCAGAATAGCTAGAACCCTCATTCGATTAAGAGATGAACGAATTGCTCAGACTGAGGCTCAGTTGACCCGACTGGCCGATGACTACCGCAGACTACGACAAGAACTCCTCCCCGTCTTCAAAATGGCCAAAGAACGATCCGAACCTCTCCCTTATGCCCCCTATCATAATAATAACAGCAACATCATCAACTCGGAGGTCTATCAACAAGAACTATCCTCGCCAGCGATTCAAACACAACCCATACCTGAAAAGACCAGCCTCACCCGCACATTCTCCAAGAAACTGGGTCTGAGCTCGACACCAAAGACCAACTCTCCCACACATATCCCGAGCACTATTCACGAGGGTAGGGCTTTCACCACAGACCACTCCTCCCTTGATCCGTCGGCCGCCGCAAGTCTAGCTTCCAACACGCTAACAGCATCAATGTCAGGCGGCATGCTCCCCCATCCTTCACCCGGCGTTCCCTCACCTACCTCTCCTTTACCCTACCAACACCAACCTCTCGCCCCTCGCTCCTATCAACGAGACGTTAACAATGGACTTGCACGATACGACGCGACAGAAGACCTCCTCCGCGACCGCGACCCCCCCAACTCAGCCAAATCTGCTTCGGCAAAACTCAACCCATCAAATTCTATTATATCCAACGCATCGACCCTTGTACCTTCCCGAGAAATGTCAGCCTCAGTCCCACCTCAACTCACATCCTCTTCTGCGGCCAATAGTGCTTCTTCGGGAGCTCACACCCCGGCAGCAGGTGAAGCTCCCTCTGTGGAAATCTTCAAATCGTTTAGGGTGGGCTTGGAAGATCCTTGCCACAAAGTTCTGCCTGCTGCACTACGCAAGTATAATATACAAGCGGATTGGAGGCAGTATGCCTTGTACATTGTCTACGGCGACCAGGAGCGGTGTGTGGGGCTAGAGGAGAAGCCTCTTGCTCTATTTAAGGATCTCGACCGGGAGGGCAAGAAACCAATGTTCATGTTGAGGAAACTAGCCAATCCCATTGGAGATGTCCCAGGCTCCGGAGGCAAGCCATTGGGATCCGCAGGCGGTGGATTGGGGCCGTCTGGCGGCGGAGGGGGTCTCGGCGGTTCCAGCATTCTTAACGGGCGAGGAGGACTGGGCCGAGAACTCCCAGGAGGTGTTTTGTGATGGCCTGGAGCCTGGAGCCTTGAATCTGGAATCTGGAATGTTTGTCAAGACAGAGCGAGCATCTTTGGCACGATTCACCAGCAGAAGTACTTTTTTGGAATTTGGCCCTTTTGAGACTTTCAAGGTCCGCATGGCTTGCGATTTTGATTTGGAATAGTAGCGGTTATGAGAGAAAGCAAATTCGAGTTCCTTGTCACTCCTAATGAATTGTAAGCCAAGCAATTGTAGGTATAGAATCTGTATGAATACAACCGTGATCGAGAGGATGATTAGATACCTACTTGCATCCTGGATTGTTTCCTGGATTGTTGCCCAATACATAGAACTCCGCCATCTATCACCACAGACAGAGAAGGGACCGCCCGATCAATTCCCGTCCTCCTTTGGCGGCTATATCAAAACAGTTGGATCCACCAGATTTGGTATCCCATCTAGGACTTGTCCCGTTCCTCTTCCTGCCCAGGTCTCAATCACTATCATCATCCACCGGGACAACCACATCTTTAATCCTCTCCTTAAGCAACTCCACCGCCTGCTGAACCACCACCTCTGGAATCCTCACATCCGGCAACCCATCGGGTCCACCAGACCATTCCTTACTCACTGCGATCGCCTGATTCCCATTTACCGCAGCCGCCGCTGCAGCCGCCGCACTCGTCGGAGTAGATGTTCCATTCGCTTTTGATTTATCTTTACTGTCCTTGCCATCCTTTCCATCCTTGTCTTTGGATGTTTCCAACTGTCCGCCTTTCTGAGCACCGAGTTTCGCCCGTCGCATGACTTCAGTCATGAGTTCGGGGAATGTATCGCATGTGCCGTTCCGGAGAAGTTCGAGTGATAATGCACGCACACGGTCTGTCCAGCCGCTACGGGCTAGTTGGTCGGCGAGTAAGGTGCTCAGGTCGGCGACGCTGTTGGTGTTGCGCAGTTGGGCGATGAGGGCTTGTGATGTAGCCGGGGGGAGCGTCGTGGATGTGCTGGTTAGGGAGGTGGGGAGGGGGATTGTGATGGCGCTGTCGTTGGCCATTATGGTATGGTGTATGGTACGGTGTGGCCGTTGCCCGCGCGGGAGGGGAGGCTCCGTGGGCCGGTTGAGGAGAGGATGGACCCGGATAACGAGGTCAGGTAGGGTGTGATTTTCACGCTTGGGAAGTGTGTTCAGTCGTGAATTTTCGTCTCTGTCAACGCGGTATGTATGTAGGTAGTATTCGCGGGAGTTGGAGAGTTGTAGACAGGTCGGTAGGTATGGAGGTTGGTTTGTGGTGTACAATGCGGTCCAATGGAAACGGTAGCGACCAGCGACCAGCGCTGCTGTCACGCACCTCCGACTCCAAACTGTGATGCTCGAATTAAGAGCTGGCCTAAACAACGTGTCTTCTCTTCAGCTCTATTAACCTTCAGAGGTAGTGGCACAGGAGTTGTTTGTGGTGGTGGTGCTGGTGGTGTTGAGGGGCAGGTCACTATCGACGGAGACTGAATGCGAGATATTTTGTTGTTTGCAGTCGCCGGCGCGGAGCAACTTATCCGACCCCCGCGCTCTGCATTGATGTGAATGTGGGGGTTTGATGGTATAATGTGTGAACAACATCGACAAAGGAATCGCGTTTTTATTACAGGATTCGCTGTATACGATTGACAGTCTTATCGAGTTGGTAACGCTGGCCTGGCCGACTTGCGTTCACATAATTGCAATTGTTCGACGGTGACATATCTAGCCTGTCACAAATATCTCTAGTCTGATTTAAATATCCGACGTTGAATCGACACTCGAATGTCCTCACTCGGCTTCTTCACACCAGTCCCAGGTATCATGGTAGGTAATACCCAAGTCCCACCTACCGGACTAATGTCCCATAGAGCAATGATGGCCGATCCAACCGCCACAATCTCCTTCTCTGCAAAAACACGTCCCTTGCAGCTAGGCATTCCAATTCCCCATGGCCGAAGCCGTCCATATCGCGCGACGGTATTCCCGGTTTGAGGATCAGACTCTAGAAAGCGTGTAGGAACAAACTGATCTGGGTTTGCATACACAGATGGATCTCGTTGGTCCAGAGAGAGCGGCACAGTCACAAATGTCCCAGGCTGTAGCACGTATCGCTGTTGGCCATCATTGACCGTCACAGGACGTTCGACATGGCGGACAGACGTTGCCTCGTTGGCCATTCGGTAGGTCTCGAAAATGCATGACTTCAAAAGTGGACAGTCACGGTACAAGGCTGCATTATCCAGGGAGACAAGCTCAGGTGGCTTGGTCAGTGACAACTTGATATGTGGAGCTATCTCCTTTCGAATATCCTCCAGGAGGCCAGGAGTGGAATAGACATATGTCAAGAACCAGAAGATCATAGGTTGTAAATTAGCATTCTGCCCCCACAGGATCGCAAAATCTCCCTCTCCTTGTTCCTTAAAGGTCCAGCCAGTCCGATTGTAGATTTCACTTCTTTCCATTGCAGCAGGGCTGACGTCTGACATGTCGGCATCAAAATCGACGGGAAGTCCATGTACGTGCTGGTGAATACGCTGGTATAGAGACCCTAGCTCCCGCAACAGGCGTGACCTCGATTCCATTCCCTTCCTCACCGTCCGAAAGGGAGCCCAAGGCGGGACACCTATCAATAACAGTAAAAGCAAGTCATCATCTACCCTCCAAAGGTCATCAAGGAGGTTAGGATAGCGGTTCAAAAAGTCATGCCCATATAGTAGCGGAATGGCAATGTAGGCTCCAAAATCGCGAGTGAGTTTGAGCAAATCGGCTTCCACCACTCCAACCGTCTCGGCTGATTGTGGGGTGATGAGCTGCACATTAGCAGAAACCTCCCATGGCTTCATCCCGTGTGTGCTGTCGGCGAAAGAAACAAAATAGTGGGCTTTTTGGACCACTTGAGCCTGTTCGATGGCCGCAGCTGACAGCGTATCATTTAGAAACATGCGTTCAATCGGCTCGAGGAGCTTTCGCCATGTCTTGTGCCACTTGGTCATCATCTCAGGCGTGTTGGTTAGTCCGCCAACTCGGGTCATGATGGTTTGTTGAAAAGTGTCTGCGCTGAGGGTGGTTGGTGGCTGCGAGAGAAAGCGATCTGTTCCTTGTAGGCCGACAACGACCTGATGGATGGAAGTTATTCCGAGAAGAGGACCTCCATACCGGCTGATTGCGGTGCTAGGATTGTCAATATGGAGAACATTGGTTCAAAGCCGACGATGGATATCTCACTAGATTCGCCGAGCGGTGGCTGATTTAGTTATGACGGCAACCACAAGTCCCGTTTCGAGAATTGTCCAAGTAGGGAGCTCGTGAGACCGCCTTGATCTAGCGATCGCCTTGTAGAGGACGAGAGTCAGCACAAGGAGGGCTACTGTTTTGTAGGCGGTAGTTGAGTCCAGTCTTGGCCATATCTGGCGGTCAGCATCTTCTCCCGGAGTGATTTCACTCATAATAGAAGATGTGATTAGCGGTGTATATCTCGCTGAGATCTCAGAGTTGAACACATCTCCAGTCGGTCATTAATCTCAACTGGCAACTCCAGGTATGATATTCTGGCGAGATAGTGGGCAAACCCCAGAATAATGCCTGTAGTTTCCGCCAAGACGAAGACGATGAGTGCTGACACAACAGGCTTTCCAAGGCAGTCAAGGCTAGTGACCACAGAGGGATAAACGAATAAGCAGAACCAGGGGATACTAGGTAGTCAGGGAAAGGATTGGATGCAGGTTGTCACCTTTGTCGCTCGAGTGGTTATCAGTCACGTGTGATTCATGATTTCATGGGAAGGTGCAATAATGTTCAAACCTAATCGAGATGTGCCTGCCTGTGGTGATTGATATGGCCCGAGGGGCCCCTCGGCCCCATGGCTGCATAAAGGACAAGGCATCATGCATTTTGGGACCTTCAAGTTGCACCAAATGTGATTAGTCGCATTGTTTTCTGTCTCGACTTACACCATTTGACATGTGATGATGTCTAGTATGACTGTTAGAATTTCTGTAAAGTTGTGTCAACCGACGTGTGGTACAAGGGCTAAGATACTACCTGAGTCAGCCTTGCCACCAAAATGTATTGTAGGACACTGCGTTGGGTTAGGTAGGTGTAAACTCAAGGCAAGTACTATCATTTGCTGATGTAGCAGGAACAACCTACTCCGTAATTGGTAGGAAGGCGTCATTGGACAGTACGTAGTAGTAAGTAGTACTGCAGAGTACTTAGACTTCAGTGTAGTCCGGATGTTTCTACGTCCTTCTTCCGGCCAGGCTGCAGAGGCGACGTGTTGCTACGGGTCCCGCCGAGTGCAAGAGCAACCCAGTCATGCAGCACCATCACAGCGTAAACTGCAGGTACGGCCCTCGGTCTCTAGGTCACTAAAGTATGCCCAGCAGGCAAGCACCTGGCAGCGTGGCAGGCACAGCACCGCCAGTGACTCCCAAACTTGCCAAGCCCATGACCTTCCTTTGGCTTCCCTGCGGCGACTGTGTTGGTAATGACAGCAACTAACCGTCCCTACATCACCGTGACTTGTCGACTTAAGCCATCTTCAAAGCTTCATCCACCTTTCTTTCCATCCCTCACCATCACCCTCTCTGCATCAGCTTTCTTGTTTGCGAGGATTCTCCTGTCAACCATCTCATCCTTTTCCTTGTTTGTTATCCTGCGATCTCTTCCTCAAGACAGATCTCGGTCTTGAACACAACTCGAAACCCGACAACCAACATCACTAAACAACAACCGATCTAATTCCACCCCAACCTTCAGTTGCCGACCTCTACACATTCAGATATCATCATGTCTGCGGCACCAGATCACCCTCATCCCAAGGGGAAAGTCAATCTACAGTAAGATCTCATCCTCCAAGACCACATCTTCAATGACTGATCATGTTCGATAGTGATGCCTCTGGCGCAGAGAAGAAAGAGGTACATTCCTCCTCGTACCCATCCACCGATCTGAACAGCACGCTGACCCCCGTACAGGAGCTAGATACATCAACTGCAATCTTGAAGAAAAAGAAGAAGCCCAATTCTCTGATGTAAGTTGATATCTCCGAGATAAGGCACTCTCCAGAACTGACAATGGCTTTGCAGTGTCACCGACGCCACCAATGATGACAACTCAATCATTGCCCTCTCCAACAACACCATGGAAACCCTCCAACTCTTCCGAGGAGATACAGTCTTGGTCAAGGGTAAAAAGCGCAAGGATACCGTCTTGATCGTCTTGGCCGACGATGATCTTGATGATGGCAGCGCACGCATCAACAGAGTCGTTAGACACAATTTGAGAGTCAAGCATGGCGATATCATCACCGTCCATCCTTGCACAGACATCAAATACGTAAGCCTCCTGTGGACCGTAACCCCACCAAACATCCATAACTAACACTCTTCTTCAGGCCAAGCGCATCGCCGTTCTTCCCATTGCAGACACTGTCGAAGGTCTCACTGGTTCCCTCTTCGACGTTTTCCTCGCCCCATACTTCCGAGAAGCCTACAGACCCGTCAAGCAAGGCGACCTCTTCACCGTCCGTGCGTCAATGCGACAAGTCGAGTTCAAGGTGGTCGAAGTCGATCCTCCAGAATATGGCATTGTGGCTCAAGATACAGTCATCCATTGCGAGGGTGACCCCATCCAGCGAGAAGATGAAGAGGGAAATCTCAATGAAGTTGGTTACGATGACATTGGTGGCTGCAGAAAACAAATGGCACAAATCCGAGAGTTGGTCGAGCTGCCCCTCCGACACCCTCAACTCTTCAAGTCTATTGGTATCAAACCTCCACGAGGTATCCTCATGTTTGGTCCCCCTGGTACCGGTAAGACCTTGATGGCGAGAGCAGTGGCCAACGAAACCGGTGCCTTCTTCTTCCTCATCAACGGTCCTGAGATCATGTCCAAGATGGCTGGTGAATCAGAGTCCAACCTGCGCAAGGCCTTTGAAGAGGCAGAAAAGAACTCGCCCGCCATCATCTTCATTGACGAAATTGATTCCATTGCACCCAAGCGAGAGAAGACCAATGGCGAGGTCGAACGAAGAGTCGTGTCACAACTCCTTACCCTCATGGACGGCATGAAGGCTCGTTCCAATGTCGTGGTCATGGCCGCCACTAACCGACCCAACTCGATCGACCCTGCCCTCCGACGATTCGGACGATTCGACCGAGAAGTTGATATTGGCATTCCCGACCCAACTGGCCGACTGGAAATTCTACAAATCCACACCAAGAACATGAAGCTTGGTGAGGATGTTGATCTCGAATCAATTGCCGCCGAGACCCACGGCTATGTTGGTTCCGACATTGCCTCGCTCTGCTCTGAGGCTGCAATGCAACAGATTCGTGAAAAGATGGATCTCATCGATCTCGACGAAGACACCATCGATGCCGAAGTTCTCGACTCCCTCGGTGTCACCATGGAGAATTTCCGTTTCGCCCTCGGCGTGTCCAACCCTTCAGCCCTCCGAGAAGTTGCCGTGGTCGAAGTTCCCAACGTTCGCTGGGACGACATCGGTGGTCTGGAAGGCGTCAAGCGCGAACTCATCGAATCCGTCCAGTATCCCGTCGACCATCCAGAGAAGTTCCTCAAGTTTGGTCTCTCGCCATCTCGAGGTGTCTTGTTCTATGGTCCTCCTGGTACTGGTAAGACTATGTTGGCTAAGGCCGTGGCCAATGAATGCGCAGCCAACTTTATCTCTGTCAAGGGCCCTGAACTTCTCAGCATGTGGTTCGGTGAGTCTGAAAGCAACATCCGAGATATTTTCGACAAGGCTCGTGCTGCCGCACCATGCGTGGTCTTCCTGGATGAGTTGGATTCAATTGCCAAATCTCGCGGTGGATCTAATGGAGATGCTGGCGGAGCATCAGACCGTGTCGTCAACCAGCTTCTCACCGAAATGGACGGCATGACTTCCAAGAAAAATGTCTTTGTTATTGGCGCCACCAACAGACCTGAACAACTTGACAACGCACTTTGCCGACCTGGTCGTCTCGACACTCTCGTCTACGTGCCTCTTCCAGATGAGGCTTCTCGAGCAAGCATTCTCCGAGCACAGCTCCGTAAGACACCCGTGGCCGACGATGTTGACATTGACTTCATTGCCAGCAAGACTCATGGTTTCTCCGGTGCTGATTTGGGCTTTGTGACCCAACGTGCTGTCAAGTTGGCCATCAAGCAGTCGATTGCTTACGATATTGAAAAGACAAAAGAGCGTGAAGCAGCTGGCGAGGATGCTATGGATGCGGACGACATTGACGATGACCCAGTGCCCGAGCTGACCAAGGCTCATTTCGAAGAGGCAATGCAACTCGCCCGTCGGTCAGTCAGTGATGTGGAGATCCGGAGGTACGAGGCATTTGCCCAGGCAATGAAGCAGAGTGGTGGCAGTGCCTTCTTCAAGTTCCCTCAGGCCGGAGAAAGTGCGGATGGAGCCAATGCCAATGGATTTGGCGATGCTGGCAACGACGATAGTCTGTACGACTAGATGGACTGTGCATGAGCGATTGGGCCAGGACAGTTTTCAAGTACCGTTATCACGCATATTGCATCCAGGTATGAGAACCTTGGACGGGACAGCAGTTGAGATTAGAGCGTGAGATTGCTTTAATCGGGTGGATTTGTATTCTACATAGAGTGAAAACCAACAGAATGCAGGCAAAATAGAATGCTTGAACAGTATGTATCGATTTGTCGCTCCTGTCTACCTGTAGTACTTTCGCTACGCATATTTTACCCAACGTACTCGTAGCTTGAAGTAGTGCCCAGAAGTGACTAATCTCGGGGCAGTCTGGTAAGTCCCTCCTAGGGGCCCTGGGGGCGAGGGGGTCTCGATGAGTGGATCGTGAAGCTAAGGGCTCCCTGAAGTCCTATGATGACCTCCTAATTCTTAGCTTCCGGGGATGCCGCAGCGCCGCTGAGAGAAATGAGAAGAGATGAGGTCGAGGCTGAAGGCACGTGCGCCCATCATCTCCCTCCACTTTCCTCAAGATCTGACATCTGCAACCTGCGACCAGCCTCACTTTTCTGCCTACTTCAACCATCCTCTGACTTGCACGCGACAACGTCAACCCACGTTCGTCAAGGTATCTATCATCTGTCCTGTTGGGTTTGCATCTTGTATCAGTATACATTGCACCAGCCATCATGGGCATATCCGCGCGGTTATTGCGCCTCGCGCGTCCGCAGGTAAGCAGATTTCCAAGGTCCAATTCTCTCTTCTCACACTCTACGTCGACTGCTTCCCTTCGCAATAGCTGACTCTGTGATCCTCCAGAAATTCCTGTATACCATGAACCTCTCTACCGGTGCCAGCCTCATCACCCTATCCTTGATCCTCAACAAACTCTCCGGCTTGTATGGCATCCTCGCCCTCATCACCGGCTACCACCTATCTCCCTTTCAACTTTCCATGTACACTTACAGCATATTGGCTCTGATCCTTACCGTTTATCTTGCTCCACATATCCGCAAGCAATCACCTCTACATTGTCTCGCTCTGGCCTGGTTCTATGTCCTTGATTCGATCATCAACGCTGCATTTACTGCCGCCTTTGCCGTGAGCTGGTTCCTGGTTCTCGCCCAGCACAATGCCGGGCAAGCAGAGAAGTCAGGCCCAGGAGCAGGAACCATCGACGACACAGCAGGATTCACCGACCCCAAACTCAACGTGAGCAGAGTCGAAGTCATCGCCACCCCCCAGCCTGGCTTGACCGGAGGACAAGATGCTGTTGCGGCCGCCGTGTCTGCGTCTGCCCCAGCTGGCACATCATCCAAGACTGGCACATCGGGCGTCAAGGGTGCCGTCCTATCATCAGAATCCATGAATTCAATCGGAGTCATCATCGCTCTTTGGACCATTCGTGCCTATTTCTGCCTCATCATGCTCGCTTTCGCCAGGATGGTGCTGAGACAATATATGGCTAACTCGGCCGTCAAGGGTTCAGCCACAAACTATGCATCTGCAAGCACCAACTCCAGCCTAGCCGAGAACCCTTTTTCAGAATCGAAGCCCGACGGAGAGGGTTGGAAGGGCAAGGCGGGTAGATTTATGGTCAGCATTGGACGAAGCTACTGGTTGGGTTCTGACGAAGATGATTCATGGATGTATGGGATGAAGTTCCGTAAGTCTGGCGAAGAGAGTGGCGTGTTGCTCAACAAGATTGGAAATGGCCCGACAGAGAGGGAGCGAAGGCGACGCAGTGGTACAGGCCCTCCTATTCCAGCGAGCACCGCTACGGCCAGCGCCAACAAACCTGACGGTGATGGTATGACGCTGCAGGTGCCTGAACGGGAAAATATCTAGACAGCGAGTGTGGAACGGAGTGAGTGTCTTATCTCACATTTATGAATGCCATTCTGGGGTATCTGAGGTTCTGGGCAGGCGTTCAAGTTCGCGGAACGGGATGGGATTGAACACCTTGGACGATTTTACGTCGGCTTCTATTAATTCTGTCAAGAAGCCCTGTCATCACTCTACAGCATACTACGGCGCATTCAGGATAGTGACAGCATGCAGAGGTAGGCTCTGTTGGACTAAACACTTATGATACATGTACACATCAATCATGGTATATCCTAAAGTATAAGTCATCTACACTCGTGCTACTCTGTTGACCTGTACTGGTGTTTTGTTCTCTTATGAAGATCCATTTCAAGGAACGTGGATCGACTTTCATTCCTGCCTCTAAACAAAATAATACAACTCATGTCAGACGATAGAAATGTGCATATCCTCCCCTGTCGCCTACGTTCCCCCCCGCGTTGGACAATTCAGTCAGACGTCAGAATTCCTCTATCAAAATCCTTCGCCAAGCCACCAACTTCCAGACTCGCTCTTCGTCTCTCATTCTGCTCACATCGGATTGTATTCTTCCTCGCAGCCCATCTACTGTGTGGGTGGAAGTGTGGACGATATCAGGACCTTAACGTGTCACCGACTTCTCTGCTTCACACCGACCATACCGCCAGGAGCTTCTTTCCCCTTTTCTCTTTCTCCAAATTGACCACTATCCCCATGTCTGCCAGCAAACATCCCAAGATTGCCGTTTCAGCGCCTGGCAAGGTCCTTTTCGCTGGCGGATTCCTCGTTCTTGACCGTCTTCATACCGGCCTGGTCTTTGGTCTTGATGCTAGGATCCATGTCTGCGTCGAGAGGTGGGAGGACTGCCAACTAGAATTGGGCAAAGAAGGTAGTGGTTTGGCTACGAGTCAGAGTCACTCTCAGTCTTATGTCCAAGTGACATCGCCACAGTTTCGAGACGCCAGGTGGGCTTATCGTGTTTCTGAAAACATACCACGATTGAATCAGGGCGAATCGCCACATGAGGGCGGACATGTCTCGGTCGATGTGTCCCAGATTATCGAGTCGAACTCACCCTTTACGACCACATCGAACAAATTCGTCGAAACGACACTACGCTATGCTCTGACATATCTCTCTCACCGTCGCCGTGCTGACACGGAGTCGAGCTCTCCATCACAACCGACATTCGAAAACCTCAAAATCACTATTCTCGCCGACGACGACTACTACTCGCAATCCGCAGGTTCGTCAAAGCCGCAAGATTCCAACACAGAATTCTCCGACTTTGGAGTCACTTTATCACAAGCTCACAAGACTGGACTTGGGTCATCCGCTGCACTAGTTACAGCTCTCGCAGGTGCATTATTGGCATTTCACTCGTCCAACACCTCAATACCAACAGCGCTTGACCTCACCCGTCTTCATAATCTGGCTCAAGCTGCCCACTGTGCGGCGCAAGGCAAGATTGGGTCTGGATTCGACGTGGCGGCGGCCGTGTATGGATCATGCCTTTATCGACGATTCAGCCCGTCAATCCTCGAGGCGATAGGCGAGGCACCCAGCGCCGACTTCAGCGAACGACTACACCTCTGCGTCGACGACCTGAACTTGGAGGGCAACAAGACATGGGATGTCGAAGTCAAGAGTGGAGCTGTTCAAGTCCCCTCGAGCCTGATGCTAGTCATGTGCGACGTGGACTGCGGATCCGAAACACCTGGAATGGTGCGCAAAGTCCTCAAATGGCGCAGTGATAACCCTGACGAAGCTGGTGTCCTGTGGACGGCTCTCCAGTTGGGTCAAGAGGATCTCTGTGTGGAACTGGCACGTATTGCGGAAAGGGAGGGTCTTGTTGACCCGGAGGAGGTGAAGGCGAATGCTGCTGCGGATGCCAACGTCGAACAACAACTTAGTCGCAAATTCCAACCCCTCGCAGACATCATCTCTACGATCCGAAGCCTGGTTCGTGAAATGTCAACCAAATCAGCTGTGCCTATCGAGCCACCTGTAATTACCGAACTGCTGGATTTCTGCACCAGTCTTCCGGGAGTTGTTGGCGGCGTCGCACCAGGCGCTGGTGGATATGATGCCGTCGCTCTTCTGGTACGCAACGACCCGGACGTTGTCAAACATATTCAAAACAAATTGGAAGGCTGGAAGACTAGCAGTGGTCAGAGTACCACCTCCGGTAGTGGGGACGTGGGTGATGACGTTGCGACAATTGGCAGAGTCAGACTACTCGGTGTCAAGCAGGAGAAAGAGGGTGTTAGATTGGAGGAGACTGATAGATATCATGGATGGACGTGAGATTCGTATTTGTTACACCTGGTGTCATTTTGGCGTGCATACCATCTGATCCAAGGTACATATCTATTTAGCTTGTGTTCGCAAGCAAGCAGGCAAGCAAGTAAATGAGCGATTCACTTGAGAAGTATGATTTGGTTTTATTCATGAAATGGAATCCATTATCAACAAGGGTTCCGAGTCTCGAGTATATTTATCGGTCATATTGGCTCTTGCCATCCACGTGCACCCGATTCTCTTTGTCTTATGGTATGCTCATGTCTCCCTGATAAATGATCTATGGCCATCCATCCACACTTTGACGGTCGACACCCGTGGATAGACTTCACCAGGTACTTCACCAACGCTGACTCATGTTCGTAGATCATCTACCACATGTATTATTCTCACCATGCCCACCACTCAACAATTAGAAGTGTACGACCTCGGGCAAAGTGGACATTTTGACCATGTTTTGCCTCCCTGGCTTGGCCGATTACGAGGGCTAAGCGAACTAGTCCGGGATGGAAGCGGATATGGATCCTTTTGAATTCCTTCTTTGGCTTGGAGATGTGTTGGTTGATCATTCATGTCTACTTCTCCAGTGTGTCAGAGTGTCAGTCGTATAGGGGTGGATGTCTGGCTTTCAAAGCTGAAGACAAAGTTTAAGGGAACGCGTGGTCTGGTCTGATGTGGGCTGATATTTGATTACTACAGATATTGCATATGCGTATGCGTATATCATGCCTACCTACCTAGGTACATACCTATTTGTTCGGTGCTGATTCCTCGGTTCAGACGGATAAATGTTATGCATCTTGGGCCAAGATGCCTATGCCTATCGACTTCCGGGCGGTGGAGGCATTTGAAGGTTGTTCATGGCGTTGCGGTTCGCCTCTGTGGAGAAGCAGTGGTTAAACCTCTTGGAGTGCTTGGCGAGTGTTTTATACCGTGCACTGTGGCTTTTCGTTCACTGGAAACTCACTTGCTTCGGACGTCTACAATGCCTATAATCGCCACCTAGTGCAGCTAAAGTGTAGGTAACCGATTTAGGGTCATATCGCCTAGAAGATTTGACCCTCGGGCCATCTACCTTAGGTAAGAAACTTAGAACCGCCATTTCGGCGTCTGTAGTTGAGTCCGCGCAGCCGAGAAAAAGACTAACACACATGTGAATAAAAAGAGAAAAGAGCAAAGAAGATGGATGAGGAAACACTCACCCATTGTATGAAATGGGCGAATAAATGAATGATTGTTCACTTCAATCTATGAGTACTTGGGTACAGTAAGCATCATTCAAATTAGCCGTCTCCAGTTTTATGTTCTCTAGTGTTGGGCAACCACAGACATAACAATAAAGACTTGCGTATAGGCCTCGGTAGACGCAGGAAATGTGCGTAGATTCTCCCATGCATCCCCGATCAATTCCATTTCCCTTCCCTACCTACTCCATCCTTCGCCGGGCCCAAGTGGCCCATCCCAACACTTACTGTACTTGGCCATCCCCACGGGCCAGCTTGAACCTGATTCTTTGGCTGTAACTGGGCTGGACTGGCAGCTCAAGTACCGTTAAAGTGGCTCTAGCCTCTATCTCGTGTCCCCAGGCCCGGGTTTTAGAGAGACTTCAGTTCTCCGATTCCATTCCACTGATTCCATCTCCATCTGCTACTCTCTCGCTTTGCCACGATTCTCACTGGCAGTTCACGACAGACACGAGGCACTTACTCGTCCTGTTCTTTTGCTGGACTATATACACAGCCACCTTCTCTATCTCTATCTTTATCTTGGCTATTTGTTTCTGTGGTTGACATCCATCTTCACAGACAGCCATTAACCACTGTACACTTCACGGCGTCGTCACCACCGCCAACACCAACATCATCAGCACCTCCACCTCCACCTCCACCTCCACCAACCGACCCTCCGGGCTCTTTCGGTTATAGGATTTAGAGGAAACCAGCGTGCTCATCATCCGCTAGACCTCTCAGAATCTTCCACGACACTGCATCTGTCGCACCCATCATCCAGTGCCCTGTTATTGCCATTACAATTGCAATTCCATCTGCACTGCACCCGCACATCCAGCAACACCTGCGCCGCCTGCGCCTGCACCTACTGCACCTGCTGCACCTGCACTTACCCAGTTTCTGTGCTTCATCCTCCCTCTCAACTCACACTTGATCTTCCAACCATCCAAATCATATTGTCTCTCCCATCACAAATCTGATTATTATTTCATCATCATCTCGGTTATCCTCGATCCATTTCGTCCCTCATTTGATTCCGCCCCCAATCCATCTATAACATCCACCGTCAGTCTGCGGTGACAGAGTCTCCTATGATGGCTGGCACGACAGACAACACTACCACCACCTCTACTGACATGGAACCCTCCTCCATCTCATCATCCACTCCTCCGACCCTTCAACAACCTGCTTCCCTCCCTCCTCTCGAAATGTCAAGTCTTCCTTCCAGCTCACCTTTGAATCCAAGCCAACCTCCTTTAACCCAAACCAACACCGTCACCACCACCACATCAGTCCACTCCTCTGAACATCCCCCGGGCCCTCAAAGGACAGACACTCATACTGCCATAGACCAATCTCTGAATCCTCAACCTCCTCCACCTGCTTCCCTTCCCACCGCTACTCGTACCTTTTCCACCGCCATTGGCCCATCCTCGGACTCCCCCGTTGTTCCTGCAAAAGACCCCCAAGTCTCGGGCCCTGTTTTACTTATCACTTTGCTCTTAACCTCGGGAGCTCGACATCCCTTTAAATTAGACAGCAAGTACCTGGCCAAACGGAACGTTGAGTTGCCTGAGGGTGACCCTTTCAACTTGAGCGTTTATAAACTCAAAGAGCTCATTCTGCGCGAGTGGAGAGACGAGTGGGAAGCAAAGCCCAGTAGTCCCAATTATATTAGGTTGATCAGTTTTGGCAAGTTGTTGGATGACAAGGCCGCGTTGAAGGGTATGTTGCATTCGTCGTGTTCCATTCCATCTCTCTAACCTCTCTTTAGATTACAAGTTCAGCTTCGATTCCCCCAACGTCCTACACATGACCATCAAGCCCCAAGATTTTATCGAAGATGAGGATGCCAAGGGTGCTAAATCTTCCTTTGGCAATCAACAAGAAACCGAAAGCCGAAGTCCAGGCTGTCGGTGTGTCATCATGTGATGAACACCTTCAGTCTTGTCTTTTGATCCACTCTTTTTACGTCGCCTTTTTCTGTTGGACCGGCGCCGTTGAAAAGTCGCCGAGGAACAGTAGCACGTTCCATTCCATTCCACTGTCTCGACACGTACGAGACTCCATCTTGACCGGCGTGGCGTTGGCAGGCGAATTCTTGACATCTTCTCTTGGGATTTTTGGCCTTTGGCTTGTTGGTGGTGACATGGTGACATGATAAACCGGGTGTCTACGCATGGATTGCCATTTGTTGAGCGTCAGTGTTTGAGCTCCTCACGGTGTAGAGGAGCCCATTCCTTGAAAGAGGAGGGGGTTTAAGCCGCTGTCGAGTATTGTATTGTACAGACGTCTTGTTTATGAATCCGGTCCAGGAGTCTTTCTGCTCCAGGCTACGGAACGGGATGTGGGCTTGATCTGGCGGCACAAAGACGACAAGGACATGGTTTGGGGTCAGAATGGTCCGGGAGTAAGCAAGACCTACATTGTTTTCTCTCCCACAAGAGCCCTCGGGAGTACATATTTTGGAACATGAGAATGACATACAGGATGTTTATTATTGATAAGTTGGCTGTGGCTGTGGATTGTAGATGGCAGTAGGAGGTGTGCGATCTTGTGTTCGGAGGTTGAGCATGCACCATGATCGTGTCCTGTGATAACCATGAGTAGGTCACCTTCGACTCATCCATTATCTCACTGGATCCTAGAAGGTGGTTTCATCAATCTACGATTACGGATGGTACATATCGAATGGTCTGTTATACACCAAATGCGACGACCTCAGGAGGAGATGGATACCAGTCTGGGCTGACACTGTTTCCTTCCTTGATCGACGCAACGACAACCAACCAGTGACGCCAGCCATGCACGGAGAAGACGCAAGCAAGAGAACTCCCTCCCCCAACATCAAAACCTCACGATCAAGACTCTCATCAAGATCCTTATGATAATTTCACCACTTCCCCATCCCAACTTTCCTCTCCATCTCCTCCGTCCAACCCACACCCTGTCCATCTCCACCTTGATTCAACCCCATCTTCAAACCATCCTGCCCAGCATAAACATCCTCCCAATCCATCGCGGTATCACGACCAGTCAAAATATCATCATGTAGACGTGACGGCGCACCCAAAACCGAAGGTCGGAATGAATCCGCATCTCTGACCATCTTCAATTCCATACCTCGACGCAACGGTTCAGCTAGACCGAAGTTTCGGCGCATCAGGTTCATTTGTGTGCGTTCTTGTGTGCGTGTCCAGTTCTGGAGGCGGGATTCGAGAGGGTGGCTTGATGTGATGGTGGTGGTTGCTTCGTGAGTATGCGCGGCACGGAGTGTGTCATGTAGACCGGGGGCGGAGGGGGCACCGAGGTTGGTTGAGGGTGTTGATGATGAGGTGGTGGTGGTGGTGGAGGTTAATTTGGAGGTTGTGGTATTGCTGGTGCTGGAGGGGTGGGATGCGGATGGGGCGATGCGGAGGGACTGGAAGATGGGAAGGATGTCAGTTAGGCATCTTATAAAGCTGATGTCGCTGATAGGCAGGGAGAGGTCATTGTGTGAACCGTGGAGGAAAGGCTTACCATCTTGACTGAGGGATTGAAAGGTGTATGAAGAGACAAGCTGTGGATTCAATGATTTGTTCCTGACCCGAGCAGAATGCGTGTGTAGCTGACTAGCGGAGATAGGGTGGTGAGAATCGAAGGTAGACAAGAGAGGTTCTGAGAGTCGAGAGAAGGAAGTCTATTGCGGTGGGAAGAGATGACAACGATGGGATGGGTTGACGATGTTAGGTTGTCTATCGCAGTCTCTCATTCAGGCACAGAATGCAGTCGCGTCGACAGCATAAAATGATACAGTGGTTCACCGTATATCATTCAGCGGAGTATACAGGCCAAGAGTTGGAGTTCGCCTTGGATTCTACCCAGTTAAATACTCCGTACACCTACAATCAATCCTTAATTCGTCACGACCCATACCTTCCAATCGAGTTAAAAGAGACAAACAAGTACAAGTAGAAGATTGCTATTCTAAGTATTGACACCAGATACCATATAGTCGTGTCGTTTAGTTTAGTCTTGTGATATCCTACCACCTCACCAGTAGGATAATAGTATCCCACATCTTCCACACACATGGACTTCCCTTATCAGCACCCGAAATACCTCTCCTCAACCCACCTCTGCTCATAATCCTCCACCACCTTCGCAGCCACAACTTTAATCTTGGGAAACACCGTCATCAACCTCTTCAAACCACGCCGACCGGCAATACACGTTACAAAAACGATCCTCTTCTCACAAACACCATGATCGACCAAGACCTTGACTGCCATCAACGCCGCCCCACCACTAGACATCTGTGGATCGAGCAGCATGACAGTTTGATGCTGGGCAATATCAGGAAATAACTTCAGATAATGTAGTTCCGGTTCTCCAGTGCGCAGGTTTGACTGGATTAATAACCGACCCGTCAGACAATCGGGAATAGTGCGTTTCAATCCCGTTTCCATACAACTGCCGCCTCGTAGAACGACGACTGCAGAAACCGTGCCAGCGGATTTTAACCCGTTGTATTTATGGCCTTGAGGCGTGGTGATTTCGGTTTGGAGATAGTTATGACAGTCGAGGGCCTTCTCGATCAATAGAGCCGTGAGGCGGTCGAAGTAGAAGATGAAATCAACCTGTGAAGTAGCTGGGTTTCGAAGAATGGTGGCAATGGCGGTGATTTGAGGTTTTGAACTATCATCGTCGTCGTTAGCGATGATGATAGCATTATCCGAAAGTGTAAAATCATTCTCGTCGTCCAGCTGACGACCCAATTTCTCCAACTCGGCGTTATGTCGAATGGATTTTTTCTTGAGTGTTTGTCGGATCTGGTTGACAATCATCTCAATGGCCATAGTGTTCATCATTCCACGGGGCACAATCAAATCAGCCACTTCGCGCTGCGGATCGACGTATCGCTGGAACACTGGCTTCACGTAGCGAAACCACTGTTTGATCGTCCCCTCAATGGTTCGTCCTCGTTCACGCACATCACGCACAATTCGTCGTGATAGACATACATCCGGATCAGCCTCGACGAAGATCTTCATATCCAGTAAATCCAGCACGCGAGGATCATTCAGTGCAAGGATTCCCTCTAGAATAATCACATGCGGCGAATAAAGCGACATGGTCTTCTCGAGCCGCTGATGTTGTTGGAAGGAATAGACCGGTATATCGGTTCGTTTCCCTTGTTTAAGCTCCTGCAGTTTCTCCACCAAGAGATCAAAGTCGATTGATTCCGGCGAGTCCAGGTCCCATTCGTTCTGGTGCGCCAGCGCGTTTTGTTCCGGGGTTAGTGATTTGTAGAATGAATCGATCGAGAGGATGATCACCCATGGTAGATTGAGAGATTGAACGATTTCAACTGCTAGACTTGTCTTGCCGGACCCAGATGATCCAGCAATACCGACAATGCTGAGGTCGGCCCATGGCGGTGAGTAGTATGCTTTTTGTCTGGTTGAGCCATTCCCCGTGGGTTCAGTTAGTGACAGGTCACTGATTCGGGGATCTTTTTGAATTGTAGTCGCCATGGTTCAATGACAGTGACTGATGATATAGATAGTGTGAATCTCCCAATTACTGATGCGTCATAAGATGGGGAGAGGTTCGAGTACACAATCTGGAATAGGTGTACATGTGCGTTTGTCGTTGGGACTCGAGCTCCTGTAGTCGCGTGACAAACACCTCCCAAGTGACCTCGACCACCTCAGTCCGTACCTTTATATCCTGCAATGATAGGCCGGGAAATGTCAATAATCGGTCGAGCAATCAGGAAAGACAATACAAATGCCTGTATTGGGTTTTGGAGAGGTCAACTTGACCTGGTCGGTATCATTCAATGTTTGGTTACTGGCGAGGGGCGATATACGGAGTGCGTCTTATCAAAAGAGGCTCCACGCTAAAACTTCGGCAGTTTGAGGCTCAATGCAACATCGTTTACTCAGTCGATCTTCCATATTATCTTTTGATTTTGTGTATTAATACTCGAAATTTTGATATATACCGAGTAGTTCGCCTTGATATCATATCACTTCCAGATTAACAGTTATCTGGTCTTATGCCAGATCTTATGCACACGTTCACAGAGATGGTACAACTTGCTGAGACTATTGCCAGATCGGCATTTATATTCATATTCATATTCATAATTAGCTGGGTGAGACCATCTAGACACTTGTATATTCTCTATACATCTCTCCTGTTTAGTCTGTCATATTTCTATTACAGCCCCGGACCATTGTATCGCCACTCATTGGCAGGGAGTGCCATACCTTTGACCATCTGTCTTCGCGGACTCCTCAAAAGAGGAGATTGATGAGGTCCACGAGTCACGATCCCAGCATTCCAGTGGGAGCTTGGACGGCCGAACCTCGAGATAACGTGGCGAGAATCCGATGACAACTCTGTATCAGCATGGAAGCCAGAGTCATCTGATGCCAGAACCCTCGACAAGGAAGTACCAGTCGATCTGGAATTGTGCTCCTGAAACATCCAATTGCTGGTATAATCCCTACAACGAAGGCCATCAGCAGGACCTCGTGAAGGCGCAGCTGTTTCTTCTGAGATCATTTCGCTTCCAGTATATTCGGAAGTTTGGCTATCAATGGCCGCAAGGTTCCTGCCACCCCAGTTAGTCTCCCAAAATGTCAACATTGCATATAGCTTGATCAAACTGTGGAAGTATCCGAATGCGATGCAGGCCGGCAAGTAGATCAAGTCTAGAGGGTTGCGGAGGAAGTAGGGAATGATCTTGACTAACTTGGAGGCAAAGATCCAACATACTAGAGTGGTAAGAGTTGTCGAGTCGTAGAAGGTGGTCAAGGTTAGCGCATACAGCATTGCGGCGTCGTAGAACAAGGCGAAATTGATCATGCCACTAATGTACACTGCATATACGCACCAAGGTTGAGCAGTCCACACTGTGCGGTCAGTTAGCAGAGATGCCAAATTGGATCGGAATGTCGTACGTGCCCAGCGCAATGCTTGCGACATGAACTTGGGATATGTGCCTAGAGTGGTCTCGATCAGTGAGTCTGCGGTATATTGAATCTTGATCTGCCACCCATGTCGCACCAACCATCGAGTGATGAAGTTGTCATCGTCCGGATTTAGCGGTCCAAACAGACCAAAGAAGAAGCGCTCGTTAGTGAAGCTCTCGATAAAGGCTGGATCTTGCAGGATCTGGCTGCGGTAAGCACAGGTCCGGCCGGAGATGACAAACACACCCCCATCCACGGCATTGCTGGCTCGGATCTCAAAGTTGTGGCGTTCCAGGTAGAGGGCCCCGATGATGTTCCAGAATGAGCGAGCACCAAATCCGTGTGGTTCGCGCACGACCCTCTTGTTAGTTCCCACCCCTCCAACTCGAGGGTTCTCAAAGGGTGCCAGAATGGACGGGAGAAATCGAATGCTAGGCCAGAAGACATGGTCATCAACCAGAACAGTAACGTCTGTCTTGATGCAACCGAGGACGTGGGCCACTTGTCTTCGCTTGTTGGCCACCTTGGTCGCCGTTACTCTAATATGTGTCTCAGGAAAGTGTTGACGAATCGGCTGAACAATTTCTTCTGTCAGGTTCATCAACTCTTTGCCTACTGTGACGATTAGAATCTCCGCGGGTTGGTTCTGCAAAACGCTCAGAAGACATTTTAGAAAATCTTGATTCTTCGGGTCAATGGTAGGGATCACCACTGTGACGTCCTGACGCTTCACAGTCGGTGTTTCGGGGACTGGGCTGGCCTGATATAGCCAAAAAGAGATGATATGAACAATCAAACGGAGATATCGGAAGGCGAAGAGTGAGGTAAACAGTAGATTTTGAGGACTTACTAGACTGGCCCAATTTGCGGTCATCTCGATATCTTGCTTGTGCTCCATCTTTACTATGAAACTCGATGTTGATTTAAAATGACCGGGTAATGAGTGTCTGTTGTATTCCCTTGTGAATAAGAGGGCCGGGTTGACGAATGATCGCAATGTAATTGATCAAATGGAAGGCACCAAGTCCAAGGGACTCCAGGGATTTGTTTTATTCATGAGTTCAACCTGCTGAACAAAAGGAAGTGGGTTGGCCTCGATGGGACATTATTTTTGTCCATCATTGTTCTCGATATGGGTTCTCAGAACAAAGTGAACAATGACAACGCCCTCGAAACGAAGCTGAAAATAGCACAAGACAAAGACTGCTGTGTAGTTAGCGAGAAACAAAGTATCTCTCAAACCTGAAACAGGCACATGTCCTCCAAGACACGAGCCTCGGGGGATAGGTGGGTCAAAAGGCTCAGCACACTGATATCGTTTCAATGATAATGTATATGTATGGGTGGATATGTTGTAAAGAAACTACCGCCATATATCTGTAAAAAGCAAACAGTTCGCTATGCATGAGGCTCTCAACGGCGCTGTACAGTTGTTGCCAAACACCAATAATCATTCAAATGTCATAGAAACGTTGCCTTTCTTCTGACCAAAGTCATCGTAGTCATCGTCTGCCCAAGCATTATGATTGAGGTCCAGTGCCGCAAAGGACGGCGTAACGCTGTTTCCAGAATTCGGTATTGGACGATCCCAAGCATAAGGGGGTGTTTCTGTTGCGTGCGAATTGAGATCGGGGCGTGGATTATAAGGTGTAGTCCAAGAATCAAGCTTCGGTGAATGACTTTGAGGCAAGGGGCTGGCTTTCGTGGCTGTGCTGGCTCCCTGTGTTTCTGTGTAGTCTTTCGAGAATCGGGAGTTGGGAATAGGGGATGCGTTGAGAGATCGCTGCGGAGTATGCCTTGGAGATGATTCTGGCGTGAAATGAGGCGTGCGTTGCGGGCTGTATGCTCTACTTATTGGCCTCAGAGATGATGCTCTGGCCGGGGGAGCAAATCCGACTTCTATTTCATCTGGACGAGGTGGTAAGTTCATCCTTGCCAATTCGTCCGCCTTGATATCAGATGGAAGGCGTAAGTACTCGACATGCTTTTCGCCATCAGAGTACGAGGTGATTTGCATCGGAGGTAGCGTGCTGTTCAGCTCTCGGACTTCGATCATCTCGCTCTCAAGTTCTTTTCGAATAGCGTCAATGTCGAACAGGACATTTGGGCCTTCGCCATTGGAACTGTCTGGAGCCGTGAGACTGGTTGATCTCCGGTGACCGTTCTCTTTGCTGTTGTACGTCTCCCACCCTTGCTTCTCTGCGAGCTTGCCTCGCTTGAACAACCCAAATCGTCGTTTTTCCGGCTTCTCCTCAGCTTGTTTACGTGCCGCGTCAATCTCCTTGATCAGTTCTCGTTGTCGTTCGGCATGATTGTCTGGGTCAGGGTCTTCGATTTCCGTGAACTCGTCGCTTTCAACCTCCCAACCAACTTCTCGCATCAATCGAGGCATGGCCGCACGGTACGCCATGTGGCCGTTAACAAACTTGCTCACATCAAGGTTCTCAATGCCAGGAATGCCTTCGACTGGAGCAAGTCCAGCGACACGCATGATGCCTCCCGACGTTGCCCGAAACAAATAGCCCAAGATCCAGTCATTTGAAGCGTAGCCGTTGAGAAAACGACCGGAAACCACGGATCGGGCTCGTAGGTACTCGTCCTTTTTGTAGACGACTGGAGTGCCAAATAGATAGACATTTTGGATCAAACCATACTTTCCTCGAGCGGACAACTCTTTCAACGCCGCAAAAATGACTCGAGAGCCCAATGAGAAACCCACTAGAGTGATAGGTCTTTGGCCCAGATGTCGATCGGCAAGAGAATCCGCCAGGATTAGACCCGCCGCGTTCGCACGATCCAAAGATACGCTCCAGGGGTTGTCAATCAGGTAGGCTAACTTAGTCAAGATGATGGGAATCTGAATGGAGGCCATGAGAGCAACGAGGAGGGTACTGCCCAGGACTTGTTGAACCGTCTGCGTCAATGCCTCTGTGGCAAGAATATTAATGGTCTCACCCATGGACCGAAGCATTTCCGGCTCCCAAAGTAAGGAATAGATGTCACCCATGATTGGGTCCACTGTACTATAAGGTAAACGAACATCATCAACCTTGCCGTTCATCCAGCCGGCGACGGTCAGAATCAAGTTGAGGCGTTTGTTGTTGTGAAGGGGTCGATATTCAAATGTCTGAACGTGCCCAGTGCGGCGATCGGAGGCTCGAACTGCAATGGTACCTCCTGCGAGAGTAGCACCAGAGGTGATCAAAGCTGCACCACCGACGCCACCAAGAAAGCCTGCCGTCCCGCCTACACCGATGGTCGTGAAGCCAGCTGCCAAACCGGCCCCGATGACGGGTGCAAGAAGGCCAGCTGATAGGCCGATGACGAGGCCTCCACCGACTGTTGCAAGCCCCATCACCATATACTTTCTCTTTAGGCCAAGTTTCCTTCTTCGCTCCATGTTGTCTGTCTCGTCCCAATTCTCCTTTACTTCTTCTTCTTGCATCTCCAAGGAGTCAATCACGCGCTTCTCGAAACGACAGATTTGGATCCAGCTGATTCCAAGGGTCGAGCCGACCCTTTCTAGTAAACGCCTCGAGCGAGCATCGTAAACGCTGTCAGAAATTAATGTTAGAAACAGATCGCATAGAACGGTCCATCTAATGTCCAATTCAATTTGACTGCTGCTGGGCATGTCTGCTGGACCGTGGACCTCGGGGACCTCTTCACCGTCTTTGACTTCTTTCAAAGAATCCGTGGTCTTTGAAGACACGAGTGAAGCCCTGGAATCTCTGAAGTTGCCGGAATTCCGGGTTCGGTCTACAGTCTGCTTGGATGCCATAGGATTGACAATCTTAGCATTGTGCATCAGGGGAGCGCTCAAGTCTGATGGCTGGACACCATGATTGGCGAGCTGTTCGATCATGATCTGTTCGTCTGGACTGATGTCCATATGGGCGTAGAGTCGGACCATCATTGTCTGACCCCATTTGTCCATGTCTTCTAAGGCCTTTCCAATCTCTTTTCGGGCGCCTCTGGTTTTCTCCATGTCTCCAAGGGCTTGAAACATCTTATGAATCGTCAAGCGGACGACGCCGACATAGGCTATCCGTTGCCCTTCGGTCAATAGGTCTTTTGTGGCTTCCAACTGGGTTAAAGCATCTCGCTGCTCGGCTTCCTCGTCAATATCTCCAAGGTGGTCAGGGTTGGCGGTATCAGCCTTGGGTCCACTGCGGAATAAGTAGTCTGTGTCGTCGTCTAGACTAGTGACTGATTTGGCATCTTCATCTAGTTGAACTCTGGTGTATCCTTTTCCGGCGCCTCCCAAATTGGCGTAAGGATTCGATTCCTCTTTTTCCTCTTTGGTGCCTTTGGCTACAAGCCGACCACGGTCATCGTAGATGTCAAACTCGTCAATGGCTGGCATGGACTGCCATTGGACCTCCTCTTCCTCATCATCTGAATCATCTTTGGTAACGGCTTTTTGGTGGGACCATTGAGACACAGTAGGACCAACGGATTTTGGTTCACGTTTTGTGATTGGGGATTCTGGTGATAGATCGGTGTCATTTCGCGCGGCTGAATCGGTTTTGACTGCCCCGGATTCTGGCGCAGGGTTGGAGACATCGGCACTGTCAGCGGGAGGGTTTTTGGATTCGTCTGATGGGCTCTTGTGGGAAATGGACTCAGGGGGAGGCTCCGTCTTCGGGTCTGGATGGGACAATTGTTCTCCAATCATCTCACCTGGTGGTGGCGCGGGATCCGACTGGATTTGACCATTGTCTGATTTCGGGGTCGAGTCCTTGTCCAGAGTCGGTTCCTTTCCCGCCGAAGTATTAATGTCCAGGGCATTCTGCTTGGGCTGTGGTGCACCTGCAGTATCTACGCTTCCGGCTGTCGCCTCGGCATCATGGAAAAGAGCGTCATCGTCCTCGCTGTCGCTCGAATCGGGAGGAGGTGGTCGGCGGTTGGGTGCGGGCCTTTTTGGAAGCCCAAAATCGTCGAGTTCATCAGGTTGATTTGTTATGGCAGCTCGATCAGCGGAAGATGAAGGTTGTACAGGGATGCTGCTGCTCATAGTGGATTACATGTGAGGACGATCGGCATTAGAGGCAGTCTCTAATGCGAAATCGCAGCGTTAGGCAACGAGAGTGTTCCGCGAGCGGTCTGATTAGAGGTGTAGAGGCCGGTACATGGGTTCGAATCACCAACGGAAGAGGGTGGGGGTTTTCTTGAGACTTGGGCTATCAAGGAGACTCCTGACTTGAGAGTTGACACCTTGTTCGGGGAAATGTTAAGCACAGCCAACAATGTGGACGGGTGAATGTGTCAGGTTTCGATTCTCATTGTCAACAGGGGACAAACAATCAATCATCCACAATTGCATTCCGACCGAGGCGATAACATGATCCGCCCTATTTCACCTTGGCAGTCTTATGGTCGGCCGTATGAAACTTGGCAAATTACACGATCACGTGCTACAATTGAGACCTGTTTGCTACAAACTGCAACGGCCGTTGAGGTAGACATGACTACAGCCATGTATGTACCGGTAACGCGTAAAAGGAGCCATGCTAGGTCATATCAAACAGGTCAATTGAATCATAAACCGGTGCTCGTGCTGAGGGAGCCTCGAGGACTGTGTTGGAACAAGGAACGAGGAAATGGCAGGGAAGCGAAACGCCGAGATCTTCTCACAAATCGATGGTGGTAACAGATAATGTGCAAATGACTGCAACCACTGCTTGGTTTCTTTGCAAGGCTCCTGTGCACCCACCATACCGAGACCTGTCGTTCGCGGCGTATGGCCCCGACTCAATTTCCCCATCTTCCACAGGATGCTCGCTGAGATATTTATGAAATGAAACCTGTAAACCGTAGGTAGGTGGTAGATAGTGTGACATTTCCTTCGACAGTATAGTTTCTGTGGAGAGGGTTTCTGTTGTACATGAAATCAGGGCTTCTTCATAATCTTTGGCTGCTTGTCGCATCATAATTTGTGCTGCCAATGCAATTGCGCCTCTTGTATGCAGGTTGAGTGGAGATTGAAAGTTGGTGTCCCCATCGTTCTCGCATCTTCATTTCTTTTCAGTACCGTTGATGATCGCTTCGAGATCCGAGAAGTCGCCATTGTCCATTTTAGCCCACACTGCTTCCACCCGCTTCCTGCGTTCCAAGCCCGTTTCGCGGTTCTTCTTGCTCTTCTTCTGCCTCTCTCCTGAAAGACACCGGTTGACCTCGCGCTTGATCTCATTGCAGCCACCGACGGCTTTGTAGAGGAATCCGCGGGCGTGGCATTCGTCTAGGGCGTTCATAATCTCTTCACACCCTACGCAACGTTAGCATTAGTGTCTGTCCATCTCTTGAGCATTGCGTCAACACTTGGGAAGTTGGTAGTCATGGCGCCAGAGGCTGGGGCGTTTTCCGCAATTAATCTGCGCATAGGATTGGATTGTCACCTACCGACATTGTCCTTTGTATGTAAATGGGAATGCATTTTGGTGGAGACTCGTCTCCAGTAGAGATCGTGAGGCTCAAGCCACGCCCACATAGATCTATTGAGTGGCAGATCTCGAAAGATGGCGAATTGAAACGAATGGCGGAACACTACTATCCAGAAACTGTGAGACAAAAGGTTCGTCGGTAGCTAGATATATCAGGTCACTTTACTGGCCGGAGATCAAAGTCCAGACCCGAGTGGCGGACGACGGTAGGGCGACGGAAGTGGGTGTAATACTTTGCCGTATAAGTTGACACTCGTGACATGCTTGAACTGGCGGAGTGCACAGCGCTGGAGCGCACGCTCTACCACCCACGAAATGAAGCAATGCATCAAACATGTTTCATGATCTTTGTTCTCTCTTAGGGACCACTCATCAACCAAATGATGTGCACTTAGAATGATCATTTCACCATAAGGCCTGCAATACCAGGTAGTATAATAGGCGCCCAATTTGGCTATCTCAAAACCCAACGTTGTCTGAGATAGCGATAAATGTGACGTAGAACTCACTGGCTAGGGTGAGATGTTGATAAAAAAAAATCATAGTACATCATGATGAGTTGCTATCTTGACTCTCAAATCCCATCCATCGTCTATAACATGCAAGGCTTCATGCATCTTGATAATCCTGGTAGTAATGAAATAAAGAGCGGAGCACTCCAGTCCTTTGGAGGATTTCTTCCAACTTTGGCTCATCAAATAGCTCCATTGTCGAACCCTGGAGTTTACCGGTTTGTTCTCGCTTTTTTGTTCTATATGAATTACTCCAATCTCCTTGTAAGAACACTACAACTTTGCACCAGCAACCAGGAAACTAGCCCCTCGCCTTATACATTGGCTGGCTTCCTTCACCATACCCTCGACAATCTGAGAGGCTGGCTTGATATCGTCGATGACGGCAGCCACTTGACCCATTAGGAATGGTCGGTCGGCATCCTCATTACCATCCTCCATATCTTTCGTGTAAGGAACGATGCCGGCCTCGGTTAGTTCTTTAATTTTCGCTGGCTGTCGTTCCCATGCCTTAATGTATTCATTTGCCTTAACCCTCATCGGTCTACCACTGACGACTAAAGTCGTGACCGTGTCCTCAAATGTTGCAGTGACGACCTCCGTCTTGTGTATCTCGCTGGCGCCGCTCTCAACGGAAGCCAGAAATCGAGTGCCTACCCACACTCCCGCGGCTCCCTGCATTAGGGCGCTGGCAAGAGACCGACCGTCTCTGATTCCTCCTGCTGCAACTACTAAAGGAACCTGTCCCGTCATGGGGGAGCGGAAGTCTCTCACGACGTCACAGACCGCCGGGATCAAGATCGAGGTTGCAATTGATCCTGTATGGCCGCCACCCTCCGCTCCTTGAGCACAGATGAGGTCGACACCGGCATCCAAGGCATACTTGGCATGTTTTGGTGCGCCGACCATATTCATAATCAATATCTTAGATGCATGGAGCCGTTCGATAATATGCGGAGGAGGGATGCCCACAGCTGAAACGAAAAGCTTTGCGCCGTTGCGAATGACCACATCAATTAACTCGTCTAACTTCCCCTTGGTGTAATCATAGTTGGTCTTCCGAGCCCCTCCGCCGATTTTAGGAAGAGCCAAGTCCACCCCGAAGGGAAGGGTTTTGTCAGTCAAGTGTGCCTTGAGCTCGTTGATGATCTCTTGGAGCTGTTGAGGCGAATAGTTGAGTCCCCCAATGACGCCCAAGCCTCCAGCATTAGAGACTGCCGCAGCTAATGCGCCCGAGGAGGCCCTCGCCATTCCTAGATATCACTCAGCCAATCCTCATTTCGGAAATCGAATCAGATTCATACCGGCCAGAATAATCGGGTGTTTAATCCCCAATAACTCCGTCAGGGGTGTCTGAATGCTCGAATTGGAAGCCATGGTTCCAGTCCTTCGTGATAGACAGTCAGCCACCAGCGGATTTTGGTTTGTTGTAGCGCATACCATTGCTGCATATAGTGACGGCCTTATACCATTTCTCCCAACCAAGGAAAATGGCATTTGGCATGCGAGCGGCGGAATAGTTGCCGGAGACCGGACCCGGAGGGATACAATCGATGATCCGCGGCCGTGGAGCCGGTATCGCATACAATGCGAGATTCTTACACTATTGCTAGTTTGAGTTGCATCGCGACTGTGATTGCGATATATTCTCAATCTACTGCATCAAGCCGTCCCATGTGAACACTAGATCGTTGATTGAAAAGGACCAACATAAGGTTGGAGGCTTAGCAGCGGCAAGTTGTTCAAGACGTACTGTACTTATGGCATTCATACACATGTGGGAAGATTAAGTCATCCAATTTGCTTGCCCTAGAGGACTTGTCTAGAACACAAAAACCCGGTCTGTGGCTTTGTACGTTGCGCCAGTGGTCTTTAACCCCAGCTCTCCTGCGTACTTTTTTGTCGCAGCAATCATTCCTGGAGGTCCACACAGCATGAGTTGAGAGTCTGGAGCAGCAGTTCCAAGTTTCTCCATCATCAAATCCTTCGTGACGAATCCCTGGTGCTGCTTCCAGCCCTGCGGAGGGTGCAACAACACATATGACATGCGGAATTTGTCTGCATACATCGCCGCCCAATGCTCTAGTTGATCTCGAAGAAGGATGTCTTCCTCGTTGTTGTTGGCATATATCAAACTGATAGTTGTCTTGTCCAAAGGGTCTTCGCAAATGGCTCGAATGAGTTGGTACATTGGCGCGATGCCTGTGCCTCCGGCGATCATTCCGATATGTTTGCAAAGACCAGCATGGTATCTCATGCGGCCCATGGGACCACGAAACTCCAGTCGATCGCCAACTTGCAATGAAGCCAGGTGTTTCGTCAACTTCCCATGTTCGTAAACCTTGACTATCAATTCAATCACACCCTTGTCCTTGTCGTTCGAGATAGGAGTGTAAGACCGGACGACCGATTCGCCATCAATATCGGCGCGAACTGACACATGCTGTCCGGTTGGCAGGCCCAGGCTGTCTGATGAGTTCGGAAGTGCGAACTCCAAACTCAGCACGTTGGAGGACAGTTCCGTTCTCTTTGATAGTGGGAAGCTTCGGTAGGTATGAGAATCAAGGATGGTACTGCTGGTTGACATTGGTTGTTTCCCAACGGCCACCCTTTGAGACGCCTTTTGCCTCGAAGGGTACTTCTTTACATTGTGACTTGCGTTGAGTGTCGAGCCCAAAGCTCCACCCAATACTGCTGATACAATAGAGAATGTCGCTGCTGAGGCCAGGACCCCATGCCAGAAGCCACCACTGGGAGCTGAGAGTCGGACTCGATATGCCTGGCCCACAAGGCGAGGGCTGCCATGGTACATAAGGACGCAAGCCAAACCCCACCAGACCGCCTGTTTCGTGATGGCTTTCAGCCATTGAACTGCCGGTGTCTTTGTCAAGACTGCGACAGTCTCGACCTGCGTGTAGGTAGGCCGATAGAATGTTGCTGCCTCGCGTTGTTCCTGGAGCATTGGTCCAATGTCAGTATAAGTGCTTCTCCGGAAAGCTATAGAGTTTGATCGCATCGTGAATGCAGAATCGTCCAACCCACCTCGAGTGATAGCTCGCCGACGGAAAGAGATTCCATCGCTGCCCATGCCCGCTCAGAATGTCCAACATCTTCAAATGCATCGGTTGCATCCTTGCCTGCGTACTCGACGAGGATTTCGGCCCCGCCCGGATGTTCCTCCAAGTAGGTGGTAATATCATAAACTAGAAATTCAGCCTCTTGCAAGTTGAAAATTTGTAGATTAAAGATGGATCGCGCTCGTGTAAGCACAAGAGCACTGTAGTAGCAACATACCTTTATTATGAATTACCATCCATAAATCATCTGGGGAATTATGGGCTCTCACATCCTTGAGAGAGTAATTTGACGACATGCTTCCAGAGTTTCTTGATACTAGAAGCGCGATCGTTTACGATGCCACTGTGTATCTATCATGATCAAAAAGACTCTTCACCTCATGTAACTTTTGACTGATAAACAACCCCCCAGAACAGGCTGCCAGAGGTCGCCACAAATATTCCATGTCATGCCCGAAAACTAAAATTCATTCCAAAATGATGGCGGAGGAATGACCCTCGGAGCATATGTTTCAGTGTCGCTTGTGGCGACCCCCGGCTTCAGAACCCGAGGGTTTTCCCCCGAGGAGAATACCCGACCACAGGTGACAATTGATCTTCTCCACCGACTATGGCATTTTGAACTGTTTGTGTAAACCCCAAAACAAGATATTCTAGGGCACGTCAGTTCATTCCAAGATGTTGTCGCCCTAAAACCGTGAAGAGCCACATCAATATGCAGCAGAGAGTGAACATTCAATTTTACCTTGTAGGCCCTGAGCCTCGAAAATGTCGGAATCTTGATATTCAGTTGAACGACGACATCAAGAATGTGAAGAAAACAGTTGGTCAGGAGTTCCACGTGGTGGACCCAAGTGGTAAGAGTTGTACTATTCTATCAAATCCAGCTGATGTATAACTTCGTCAGGTATTGGATTCCAAACCGAGGAGCAGCCGATCAACACGGTTGCACACATGCTTCAAGCAGCTGTGCCTATCGGAATCACTGTTGATGGCAATGCCATCAGAGATGCCCCCGGACCAGTTGGGCTTCCTTTTGTCGGGAATTTCTATGAGATCTTTCCTGATCACTTGGGTAACCACGCACGGCTCTTCAGCAAATATGGATCTGTCATCAAGACCAATACGATGGGCAAGATTACCTACCACACAAACGATCCCATCGTCACAGGCCATGTATTTAGCGAGTCTGTCTACTTCACCAAGAAGATCACCTCGGATCATCCATTGTGGGGCATCAAAGACAACTCTGCCATCTTTGTGGGCGATACCGAAACACACAGCTGGCTCCTTGCCCATAAGTTCCTCCCTCCATGCCTGAGTCCAAAGGCCATCCGACATTATACACCTTTGATGCAGACGGCCGTTCGTTCATCTCTACCCGTGTTCGATGCGATGGATGAAGCGAACGAGAGCTGGAACGTGTACCAGTACATGCTCAAACTGTCGTCACAAACAATCGGGAAATTCTGCCTCGGCCTCGACTTCCACCATTTCGATAGCCGAGACGCTCCACTCGATCCCATTGTGGCTGATATCTCAGCCATGCTGGTTTTGAACAAAAGAGTGACTAGTCGTGGCGATTGGTACGGAGCTCTTCCATTTGGAGACCCGAAGAAACTCAAGAATGTGAGATTCCGCATCTATTCAAGACTTCAAGCCGCGATGGATGCTGTCGAGCAAAAGGACACGACAGATCTCCCGCTCAGCGACGCAGCTCTGAAAGCTACTTGCGTCGTCGACTATCTCAAACGAGCGGTTGATGAGTCTGGGGAGAAGCTTCCGGAAGACCTGTTCCTTGGAAACATTGTGATCATGACTGCTGCTGGATTTACAACAACTTCTTCACTGTTGGCGTGGATGATATACTCAGTGGTGACATACAAGGGCCAGCAAGAACGCTTGTTGCAAGAGTTGGTTGACTTCAACATCAGTAATGACATTGAATGGACTCCAGAGCTCACAAACTCGCTCAAATACCTTGATAAGTTTGTCAAAGAGACTCAGCGCCTTCACAACCCGTCTTTCCAACCTGGACGTACTACCAAAACGGACGTGATCGTCCCTGGGGGATATCATCTTCCCTCAAACGCCGTCATTGTCCCCGCACTATACGCCATCCACACCAATCCGGACTTCTGGGACAACCCGCAACGGTTTAACCCGGACAGGTGGGACACGCCTGAAGTGAAGCAACGCCATCGGTGTGCATATGTACCGTTCGCCGCGGGCCCGCGAGGCTGCATCGGATTCAATTTCGCGCTGCAAGAGGTCAAGATCCTTTTCGCAGAGCTGATCTACCGCTATGAGTTTACAGCTGAGTCACAGACTGCCATTGAGTATGACCCGGATTTCCAACTCATTCGGCCTATGAATATCTACGTACGCTCTCGGAAACGTGTCTCCTGGCCAGCGAGAACAGTCTGACGTTCATGCAAGGTCAAAGGTTCAACTACAAGTGTGGAATATGCATTATCGGCATTGGCGAAAAAGATTCAAACGAGCGGGTGTGGTTCTTACTCCTTAGCAGTACAGGTTAAATGAAAGATGTTCCAACTCCGATTACTTGGCTAAAAGTCATATTTGGGAAACGATCACCTAGTGGACCGCTACTTTAGACATGAGGTCCATGCTTGGAATGCCATGACGTACAACCAGTAGCGAGTGACTGACAGTTTTGGATCTTACGAATCAATTTGATCATCTATCTCCTCAATCTTGTTCTGCTGGCTAGTTGACTCCTCGAAACCGAAAACTGTCCTTAAAAGTCGACCGTCCCATTTCCATTCACACCACCAGCATACATGCCAAAGATACTGTCGTGGTTGAGAAGCTCGTGAAACATTGCCCAGTCCATGTCGTCTGACCATACGCTACAATGACTTGGAGATGGTAACTTTTCGATATCAATTGGCGTTGGATCGGCGGTCACTGCTTCATGGTCTTGAGAGAATGAATGGATCTTAGTCGCTCTCTCAGGAGAATTGATCACCAAGTTTGGCCCCTGTGCTGACTGCGTTTGGCACATGACACCCGGATTCAAGTCATCAAATATTTCCAAGTTGGAATCGACGGACAGGTCGTGCTCTGGATATCGGGTTTGAGACTGGAGGTCCAACTCTGGCTGCGCCATGGAATCAGGTAGATTCTCGGGGGCGCACTGGTTGGGAGTTTCCTCAGTGAGACTCGGATCAAAATTAAGGGTATTCGCAAACACCTGTAGTAGCTCCAATGACTTTGCAGCCGATAGACGTGCCTCGGCGGCTGCTCGTAAGGCCCGCCACAGAATATTGATATACTGATTCTGCGCGCCACCTCTGACTTGCGCCTTTGCAAGGTTAGACGATGTCCTCAGCCTGTGTTCGAGTAGAAGCACAATCGACGCTCGGAAAATATGGTTGTAAACCATATCGTTGCAGCGGTGAGCGAAACCATCCTCCCAGTTGTGTTTCTTCGCAACCCTCAGCATGATCTTGGCCGTCAGCTTGGAAATTTCCACACTCTTCTTGAGACAAGCATTTCGAAGGGCGTGGTTGAGATTACTGTTGGTGAAGTGTCGGAAAAGAGCTAGACGAGCTTGTTGTGCAATGAAGATGATCTTCAAAATCGAAGGTTCGATGCTTCCGTCGGCTTCGTCATTACCCAAGTCGTGGGGATACTTGTACCAACACGCAAGCAGCTGTGTGTCGATCTTCATCATCGCTTCGACATCGTGTCCTTCATTCCCCGGAATGGCGTCGAGTTGGATGATGGGATCGAGAAGAGAGACGACCGATATGCTCGTCTGGAAGAAATGCAGCGACTGAGGCGCCGTCACCCCCTTCTCATCCACCTTTCCGGGAAGATCCACATCACAATCCTCGTCCAAGAGCAGTACCGGCCGTCCAAATGCTAGAGCTACTATTCGGTCTACCATATAGGCTCCCCAGAACAATCGATTCCGTGACTCAATCTCAACGTTGAAGAGTTGGTGCGGCGATGGCCGTTTATGGAGCCCGAGGTCTTGCACAATGCGTGAGGTCGTCCCCGCCATGACCCAGCATGGGCTCGGTAGGGACGCCCCAAGGAGATAGATGCTCATCAGCAGAGTGATGATGGCATCGTCTAAAGTGTAAGTCGATTTGATGAGCCTTTGGAATCGTCGTGCGGATTCAAAGAATGTCCAGCCTTTCTTCATCTGCTGGCCGCTGTCATGGCCGAGTTCCACGACGTCTGACAATTGCGATCCGACGGCGAACACCATCATGAGAATACAAAAGTCAGCCGCCATTTGACTTTCCTCATAATGCAACGGGGATCTTGTATAAATGCGTTGAAACTTGATAAGTATGGTGGGCCAATATAGCATCGGGGTGTGTGCTTGGACGTGTTGGGCATACACCTCGATCAATTTCGCACCCAGATGCTGAGACGGCAGCTGAGACCGCAGTTCGGCCGCCAAATTGGATTTGGGCTGCGTATCAGCCAGGTGCGATTGTGCGGTATCTGCAGAAGAGCGCCATAGATTGCCGGGGGATGGCACTTCGTAGCCCAATTGCTGGACATACTCACTAACTGAATCGAGGAACACAAATTCCGAAGTCGATCCATAGAAATGGTGCGTTTTGGTGCCGGTACCAGTAACATATGTCTGGAGGTTGAGATTGCCGTTAGCGGAACGACGGCGCTTCCTCGAGTCACACCTCTCAACCACTCCTACCGCAGAGCCGACCTGGGACTCGGCAGTCATCTGGCTGATTGATGTGTTTGAGATGGGAGATGACGGGCGTGGAGTCAGTATAGTTGGTCGGAAATATTCAACAGAGGCATCCATATCTGTCGGTTGTGGTATTGTAACAACAGCAGTCTGCTCAATTTGCTTGGAAAATTTCTCCACACTCTTTTCAAGCTCCTTAATGCGTCTGTCATGTACAGATTTTTAGCTCCATGCCAGGATCACACAGATTATTCTCCACTGCAGAGAGAGAGACGTACTTTAAGAGAATAGCATTCTGCTGTTTATCAGAAGGCTCAGACACCTCGCATACGATACCAGCTGCAACGCAGGAGGAACACTTTCCGTTGACAGAGATATCGCACTACCAGATTCATGAGTAATGGTCCAATCTCAATGATGATGGGCGACGGGATCTTCTGGCGACAGGGATGGACTTACCTTGGTTTTTCTTGCCCGGCATGCATTGCAAGCTCTGTTTTCCCTACGACGTCGAAACGGGCCCACAGGTCCGCTGGGTGATTTGTGGCGCATTTGCGGGGATGACTTATAGTGTTCGTCAGCTTCCTGGCATTCAATGTCCATCTGTATATGGAAATTCTATTCAAGCAACAAGCAACACTGGAAGAAGGGCGTGGGCGAAGGCCGTGTTCTGCTAGAGATCTCGTCTGCTGGACAAACACAGGGTGGATTGGGGAGAGGCAGTATTGCTATGGGGAACTCGAACTGTGGAGGGCGGGGGAAGCCAATTTCAACCTCGCCAAACCGGCGACTTTCCCCAATGACTCCCCACAAAGTCCAAGATGTCTAATTGGGATGGTGTTCATGATGATAGGCTAGCATGGTCTCCGTCTTCTGATCCTTCGGCAGGACTTGGAACATGATCCATACGATGGCCAGTGAAAATTTGCTTATCAAACGATCAACGACACGACTGCCATGGAAGTGGTGCCGGCACAGACTTGGCGTTTCGATCCCCGGCTCTCTGCGGCCATGCTGCTCTTACATATACCTCACTGACTGTATCTATTACTGTGTCATAGGGTTCTTCCTAGGTCTATTGTCTTACATGGGGCAAGAGAGAGGTTCACAATGTACCATTTAGATTCATCCCAGAGGTCAGCAGCCCTCAGAGAGATTGGGATGTTCAATACCCAGTCAGAAAGACTTAGTCACACCAATGCATAATTGACTATAGCAGGGCAAGTTAACTTTAGGCTACGGAGCCTTGATCCCTCTCGGCATATATTCCGCGGAGCCTTATCCGAGAGGCACAACCCCTCAGCCTGATCCCATTCTGTGGGGAAACCAAGGTAACAATACCTCGGGGGTGTTGACGGTAATCGTGGAAGCTGGATCAACCATTCCGACTCTGATTTCCGGAAGACATAACGCATACATATAGTTTAATTTCGATTTGACGCAGTGACTGAGATATGAAGATACTGATACTTGCAGGAGAACCCATTGGCTTTTGAGACCAAATACCATTGAAGATGTGCGCCTCTTCGCGACCAGACGAGCGACTTGCGCTTTGGCGCCATCCGGACCCTGCCAGCACTCACTTGGAGAGATTCCGTAGATTTGTAAATCAACGCAGAGGGCTTTCGCTTGTGGTTCGTATTAGTTTCGCCCGAGCAGTCATCAAGACAATGTTGTACATTCCATACCCTGACTCTGTCTTAGACCTATCCCGACCTATACTCGTACTCCATCCAGAAGTACCCTCACTTCTGGGAAGATGTATTCGAATTCTCCGATTTCTTGTATTCGGGAAATTATGAAAGGGTATGTTGTTTCGAGACCGACCACGTTCTATAAGCTGATAGCTTTCTGGGCTATTGACCCTTCGACGCCAATCGACGCATCTCCGAAATGGTTTCCCGGTATCCAGATCAACTTGGCTGAAAATCTCCTTTTTGGACCTGGAAAAGAAGATTACAAGATCGCCGTCACAAGCATTCGAGAAGGGAACACCAGTATCGTTCACACCTCATGGAGTCAGCTCAGGCTACAAGTAGGCAAGATCGCATCCGCCCTGCGAGCCAGCCGCACCCAAAAAGGCGATCGAGTTGCAGTGATAGCGTCTAATAATCTCTATACTATGTCCGTCTTCCTCGCAACACTCTCGATAGGCGCAATATTTACGTCAACCTCTACCGATATGGGGAGCAAAGGAATTCTGGACCGACTGGCTCAGATCCGTCCTAGATTAGTCTTTATGGAAGACTTTGCCGTATATGGCGGCAAGATCACAGACCTCCGGCCCAAGGCGAATGAGATTGTCGAATTTCTCCAGAAAACAATCGAATTCGACAGTTTTATTATGATGCCCAGATTCGAGTTGTTGTCCGACGTATCAAACATACCTCACTGGTACGTCTTTCCCAGAATAAGCCTCCTGAACCAATCTTGCAGTCTGATATTGAACCTAGTCGCTCGTGGGAGAATTTCATGTCTATGGCTACCACCACCGAACTTATTTTTGAGCGTTCAGCGTTCGATCATCCGTGTTTGATACTGTATTCCTCTGGAACTACTGGCCAGCCAAAGTGCATTGTTCACGGTGCAGGTGGCATTATGATCTCCCAAAAGAAAGAACTGTTTTTACATTTTGAAATCGGTTTCGATTCGGCTCAGATGATCTTCACCACGGTAAGAACCTCAGGAGAAGATAATGTGTGATGTGTGATCCACGGAAAAACGCTCATTCTCGCAGACTAGCTGGGCTATGTACAACAAGTCTATCACGAGTCTTCTCAACGGTGCTCGCATTATCACTTATGATGGTAGTCCCTTTTATCCCGATCGAGCTGTGCTACTGAGGATATGTGAGGAGCAAAGGTTGGATGATCGCTAGTTTTCTTTGTCAAGACTAATGCTTCGGCAGATTAACACATCTGGGCATATCTCCCCGCTATCTGGACGAACTCCAGCGTCACAAAATCAGTCCACGCGAAACAGCAAGCCTTTCTAGTCTGAAAATGGTCAATGTCACTGGTGCAGCACTCCTCCCCGAGCAAGCCTGTTGGTTCTACAAGAAAGGATTTCCTCCATATGTCCACCTGGCAAACTCTGCTGGGAGTACAGATACCGCTTGTCAATTTGCTGCTCAAAACGCCTTTCTGCCGGTGTATCCCGGAGAACTACAGTCAGCCACTCTTGGCATGAAAATTGAAGTTTTCGAGCAGCGTGACTATCACGATGGAGATGCAGTAAAGGAAGGACAACCCGTTTCTAAAGGCCAGGCTGGAGAACTAGTGATAACAGCACCGTTCCCTACAATGCCTGTCATGTTCTGGGGCGAGGACGGAGCTCAGCGCTACCATTCTTCCTATTTTGCTGCCTTCAAAGGTATGACATGCAACACTGATTCTTTGCAGTTCCCAGTTCAGATCTGATTGTGCTATAGGTGTCTGGACACAAGGAGATTTTATCAAGATTCACGCAGATACTGGAGGTGTTGAATTCTTGGGACGTTCTGACGGGGTCCTCAATCCTTCTGGTATGTTGTCGATATTTTCCACTTAAGCCGGCCATTTAGTGATCATTATTACAGGAGTCAGATTTGGCTCAGCCGAAATATACAGTGTTCTGCAGAGTTTCCCTGAAGTTGCTGATTCTATATGTGTGGGCCAACGAAGGCGACAAGATTCAGACGAGAGCGTCTTCTTATTTGTTCTCATGCAGCCAGGCAATGAATTCAATACTAGGCTTGTGTCTGATATCAAAGCCCAAATCAGACAACGCCTTTCAGCCCGCCATGTACCGAAATATGTGTTTCAGTGCTGGGAAATCCCGGTAAGGCTCGTCCCTGAGGGTGGTCCCTATCCTACACCACATGCTAACCTAATACTAATTTTAGATGACCCTGACCAACAAAAAGATGGAGTTGCCTGTAAAGAAGATTATTTCAGGCAACTTCAACGTGTCGACGTCATCAATCGCTAATCCAGGGTGCTTGAGATTCTATGAGCAGTTTTGCAAGGTCGAGGATTTAGTTGCGTCGAGTCTTCGCCCAACAGGCCTACAGCCAAAACTCTGAGGCCGCAATATCTGCGCTGCACAAGCCATAGATGATTCGAGGATAAACAATATATCTTTTAGCTCATAAACATCTAGCTCTACTATACAGAGTCACACAGTCTGCGGCTGACAGAGGTTTGAAGCTATTAGTGTGAACTACAATCTGCTAGTTTCTTGTTTGACCTTGATCAGGGCTCTACCGTTAGAAAGAGCTTTTCTGCCGCCCTCTTTGATCACGGTGCAAAAGCGAACTTCCATGATTCTTTCTGCTGATTGCATATTTGCTGGATTCACGTAACCCAAGTTCCACATTTCCACAACAAGAGTTGCACCTGGGTATACGACGCTTGTGAATCTTGCTTGGAACTCACTCAATGCGTCCCCTTCAGTGGCAAAGGCGGATAGCACTACACGTGCAGTGATGTTCCATGTGCAAAGACCGTGGAGGATTGGGCGCTCAAATCCCGCTTTCCGTGCAACAGCCGGATCTGCGTGTAGGGGGTTATAGTCTCCGTTCAGCCTAAGAATTGGTGAGTCAGATCGAGCAGTTCAGCAGTTCTGGGAAGGTGTCATTGATTCAAGACGAAATGCAGGAAGCACTTACCGATAAAGGAGTGTCAATTCAGGTGGGGTTTCAATGACAACCACCTTGTCGGCTGATCGATTATGTGGAGGCGAGAATATGTGCCGACTGGGTCTTTTTGGGCCTCCCCATCCCCCTTGGCCAACTGCAAAGCTCGAGCGCAAGATACGGCAATAGATGTCAGACCCTTCGACAAGCAGAGCCTCTGTCTCGACAACAGTTCCACTGGATCCTTTGTCGTACATGCCAAGGACTCTTGTTTGCAATTCAAACGACCGCCCTACTGACGATATCGGCAAAGTCTTGAATATCTGAATATGACGTTCTCCATCAAGGACTCGCGTCGGGTCAATGACCCGCTCGACCTTGCCCGGGATTGGGGGTGGTTTCAGGACGTTTGAGTAATAGTCCACCACTGTGTTCGAGTTGCCTTTGAATTGCAGGATTACTGGATACGTTGGGAAAGCGGAAAAGCGAGGATGTTTCTCCTGTCGAAGAAGTCAGTTGTCCTGAGCGGAAACCACTGCCGAGGAAGTGGCACTTCATGGCTCGTCTGTTTGATGACTAGATCACAAATCTAACTTACATAGAGGTTTTGCAGCTCCTCCTCGCCGCATCCAATGCTCGCGGCAAATAAAATCAAGTCTCGCTCGTTCCAGCTGCATGGTTGATTTGGGTACTTGTGATCCCTAGCCGAAAGTGCCATTCTGTTTTTGTAGTAGACGACTTTGGCTGTATCCTAGTCGACTTATGGCGCCACAAAGATTCTCTCCTTAGGGAGTAAGCAAGTGTGACTTTAGGCAGAGGAGGTTCAATCACCACACTAATAGCCAGGTCACCAACAATAGGCCTGTTCTACAGGCTTTGGCAAGTGTCAATCCAGGTGGCTTGGAAGTACGGCCGGAGAAGGGATGCAGAGTCGGCCCGCGGATCCTTTACCGCGCGCCCTTTTCCATCAGTCCAAGGCAAGACTTGC